CTCCGACAGAATGAGCCGACGCAGCCGAAGATGCTGATCTCTGAGCGGCCAATGTCCTTCTCTGAGACCCAGCAGGAGCATCGGCGGCGACCGTTGCGCCTGCTCTGGCGAGAGTAGCATCTGCCCAAGTATCGAAGGCGCGATCAGAGGCTTCAGCAACAGTAGCCCGAGATGCATGAGAAATAGATGCAGATGAATCAGGTGCCGGAAGAGTTTCAGTCGCCGGAGGGGGAGTGCGAAGGAGGAATGGTCGCCAGTATGCGGCGGGTTCGGTTCTGTGCATGTCGTCCTCGTCGCTCTCCGAGTCCAAGAGAAGGGGCATCGTGTCCCTCGGTGGTGGTGTCCTGGGAGGCGGGACTACCCGTCGTCGTCGGATGGATGGTGGCAATGTGATCGGCCCTGTCGAGCTCGTCGGCAGCGGAGGTGAGACAGCAGTCTTCAGAAACATGTAGTGAGCAGACCCCACACTGTAGACGCTCCCCTGACTCGGAGCAGTCACAGAAGATGGCCTAGAATGGCTGGCACAGGGCTTATACAGCGCTCCTAAAGGATTGCCGCTGTGAAGCGTTTAAGAACGAAGTCTGACTTAGCAGGACCTATACATACCAAATCGCGCACCCGACACCGGCATGGATACACCCGCAGGTCTCTTCACTGATCTGACACAACCGTCTGTCTTCAGCGGAGAAGTACTGCGAGTCCAAAGGTATGACAACATCTGCGTTAACTCCTTCCACGGAAGCCCTCCAACGACGATCTCCGAAGGCACGGGCGTGCACCCGTGCACCACATCCATTCGACCTCCTCGAGCGTTTACGGTCCGGGGAGATTGACCGCGAACGCGACGCCTGCGACGTCGTCGGCAGTGGGATGGGAAGGAAGGTGCCACTGTAGCGCCGCCGGTCCGAATCGTCTGCGAGCACTTCGACAGTGACCGGTCTGTCCTGATCTGCGCCACAGTATATAGGAACGAGAGGGATGGGCGGGGGAGGCGGTGGCGGCGGTGACCGTCGATTTCGGCGCTCTCGTGCTGCAGCCCGTCGAGCTGTATCATCGCGGGATCGGTCCGAACGCAGCATGGTGAGCAGGTCCAGCTGATATTGCTGAGACGACGACGACATCGGTGGATTCGGGTCGTGCTCGTTTGCGCCACCCTAAAGATAGGAATCCCTGGTCAGCCGCGGCCCTGGTCTTGTTGCTTCGACGAGAGCTGTGAGCCCTGTGACAGGCAGGATCACCAACGGAACAACTGTTAATGGTGCACGGCCACCAGCACGTTGCATGTCCCTGTCTATCACGACCAAGCAAAGCATAGGACACCGCCACCCGACTGGATCTCTCGTTCAGTCTTCCAATTATCAGCCGCACTTCAACTTTGTCTTTTCGCTAAGAATCCCGATGTACTTTCGATCAAAAACGTTCTTTGGGTCGATATTTTGGATCTCTAGTCCTTCGATGGATATCTCTCAATCAACCATTTCCTTCGGCGTGGGCTAAACCCTGTTCACGAAAGCATACGACGCAATACTCTTGGTGGCAAGGCGAATTTCTACGGATAATCTGTGCTACGATACACAGGTACATGTGCCAACTGGAGCGTCAGCTGCAGTCCATGGATAGCCAGGTCATGGAGATCGTCGATGGCCCATTGCTCAAGCTGATAAACCCTGCCGCAAAGGTCGATGTCTGCAGATTCCAATCGCACGGTCGGAACTCCATCGATCTCCATCGCCCAGAGAGCCGATCGAGACTCGAGCATATCAATCATTTTCTGTGGCTCGACATTCAGGGCTGTTTTGAGTGAGAGATGGCTCAGACAGGGAACGAGGCAGCTCGAGTCCGGATACATTGTCATGCGCTGGATCAGTTTGTTTCCGACGACCCGGTTCTGTATCGACCGGGACGTCGCAATGTCTGCATCCAGACTCAAGGTCTTCAGACGGGGCAGAAATTCGAGAACCTCGATCACTTTGGTCTCTAGCATGTAGCTAGTCCCGAGGGAGAGATTCTCGAGTTCCGGTGAGCCCCGCGCGAGGAAGTCCTGCACATCGGCTGGTTCCCACTGGCCAATGATCTCGAGCGTCTTGAGACGCGGAGCGGTGATACAAGAGAGGAACTTCTCCATAAGCAGATGAGGCGTTGTGACAGTTCGCATTGAATCTATCGCCAGTCGCAGGGACTCCAACCTGCGCATGTGGCAAGGGGTGATAATGAACAGAGGGTCCGGCGGGTCGCACAGTTGATTCAAGGAGCATTCGACGAGTTGAGGGCATAGATTCAACACACGCAGAGCATCCTGCGAGTTGTAGTGATGATAGTGGAAGCTGGTCAACTGCTTCCAAGGGAGCTCCCAGAAATCCAGATGGTTCTGAAGGACGACCGCTGTAAGTTTGGGCACGGCTGCTGCCGCCAAGGAGAGCACTGGCGTTGTGGGGTTCTGCAAATTCACATTGCCAGACAGATGCTCGACTTCTATCCGTTCCAGAGCGGGAAAATCTAGCTCGTCCAACCCCAGGTCTCTCAGCTGGTGGAAACCCAACGCGGGATAGCCATGCGTTCCTGGAAGCCACAGTGTGCGCCAGCGAGACGAATGCTCCCCGATCCAACGGACTGCCTCCCGATGAAACGATTTGCGCATGCCAACATTCAGCGGCAATGGGGCAGAGCGGGAAGTGAAGAGGTTCAAAAAGTTCTTTGCGTGGCCCGCACTGAAACTTGATCCCCCCGCAGACCAAAGCCACACGTTTTGCCACAGCCGAGGTGTTCCCAAGACCACTGTGCGCCAGTGATGGCACACCTGCCCCACGACCGGGATAACCGACTGGGTCGTGGGCTGGCAGGCGATGAAGATATCCTGGAGGATCTCAGGTGGCAGCCGGCGGACTGGGCTGAGGATACTGCTGCAGCAGTCCTGGAAGTATGCCAACTCCTGGCGCTTGAGTGTCAGGGTGTCAAGCAGTGCGCCCAGGCGTGCAATCTCATCGTCGTAGCGCTGGAATTGTTCGCCGACATCGATAATCGAAGATAGGATAGAGTCGGTCGCGGCATCGTCTGGAACATGGTTTTGTCGCAGTGCAGACGCGATTGTGTGCAACGGGTACTCGTGGTGTTTGAATTCGTCGTCGCAGTGGAGGCACAGGGGCAACGTCACTTGCGAGGTCGGCCTGAGATCCACTGATGGGGATGATGAGCAGCAACAGCTTCGCTAGTAAAGCTTACTTTTGTCTCGCAACTAGTACTTGAAAGAGCACAGGGATTCTAGCGAGTCAGAGTAAGGGCACGGCCTTCAACGTCAATTTATCATGACTCTCAATCCTATCAGATCCTGGTCTCTTTCACTAATCAGATCCGTCGACCATGTGGTTATTTGCAACTTTCCCATGAACCGCTCTCATCAAGAATTCAAGATGCCCGCTCTGAGCCGTCACGATGCATCGCCTATGAGCGGCTGCAGTTACATCGCCCAGCGCCAGCCATGAGCGGTTCGCCCACCACACGAGGACCACGACACCCCATCCCCTCGTCGCTTTCGTCGTCTTCAGTGTGAGACGAGCAGCGTGATACGTCCGCGATGCTGCTTCCGCGGATACGTCTCCCCTGTCTCATACTCGCAACTTGAAGGCGGAATCGATCATACCAGATCTTGTGTTCCACTTCGCCCCGAACCTCCACCATGCCCTCCTTCCTCGCTTTCACCGGTCTCCGCGTCAAACAAGCGACATCCTATGACGTCCAGGACGAGGTCACAGAACCATTCGTTATAGTCGACAAGCTTGTACGTCCGGGCCGCCTCACCCACCGGCAGACCCTCATTTTCGATTGTTTCAGGTCATCTCCGCGCCCTCGACGATCCCATTACCGAGATGGATGAACGCTGTGCCTGCTGGTCGTGCCTCACTTCGCCGTGCTCGTAACCAGCTTAACTACCTGAGATTCCAAGCCGACCTGCCTGCAATCATCCCTGACCACCCGTACGAGCTGGGTTGCAACCGCGAGACAAATGGTCAGCGGAACCTGATCTACCCTCCTGGACTCTTCGTTCCGAAACCACAGCCTGCTGCTCGACGTCCCTCGCCTTTACGCTCGATCTTGTGTGCTGAACTTGAGATTCATGAAGGGACGCAGGACAACTTGGAGACGGTCATCATCTCGCCAAGCGATAGCGCGAAATTGCTCTACGACTGCCTGGATCCCACTGGCACCTATGATGACTCTTCGATCCGCGCTGAATCGACACCCCCTGTTGATATCGACTGTCTTACAAAAACGGAACGCATTTTGCTTGCTCTCGCCGCTGCTAGTGGTGCCGATGCCGACTCGAGCTACGACGAGCCATCCATCTACGACGACGAAGATTTGCCGCAAGCAGCTGAAGACGAGGAGAAGATCAAGAAACTGGCGGCCTCGTCAGAATCGCGCAAGCCTCTACGTCCGATGGATGCAATCAAGTTGAGAAAGCGGCTGCTGGCCCGTGGCACGCTCGCAAGCTCAAGCGCTCCATATCACTCACCCAGGCGCATTTCAAGACGTTCAGCAGCTCATGAGAAGGAGAATGCTGGGGGCCCGAGAATATCATCACCGCGCAAACGAGCCATCAGATGATCGAAGCAGCATGGTGTAGTGTGAATACTGCTCTTGTAATATTTCTGCTCAATCGCTCCCTGCAACCAATCCTGGCCAGGATCGGCTGCTTATCGGGCCGTGGAGAGCTGAGTGATAGATCGTCAAACGCGTCGCGTGCATAACCAGTCGGGTATCTTTGTTTGCTCTTCATTCTTCCCTCTCTCTCCCGCACATATGATAGCTTCCACGTGCGTGTCCTTCTATCAAAAAGTGTGTCTCATTGGTCCCATCGCACGTCGTCAAGAGACACGGCATCCTCTATGCCATAAATTCCCGTGGATGTATCTGCTAAGGGCCACACCCCAATGACGCGAATGGCATTCGGTAAAACTTGGGCCATCCTTACTCTAGCTGCTATGGCAGTTGCAAAGGGCCCTACGGTTTTGCACGAGAGTAGGTCGGCTGTCCCCGCGGGCTTCGTCAGCCACGGCGCGGCGCCCCCTACCCAAGAACTGGACCTGCGCTTTGGTTTAGCGCCGAACAATGCCACTGGGCTCCAGGCCAAGTTGATGGAGCTCTCCACGCCCGGGAACGCAAACTTTAGGCAGTGGCTAACCAAGGAAGAGGTGGGTCAATCTACCAATCCTTCGTGATGAGTGCAATCTCAGCTATTTGCCAGGTGAAGTCATACATGGAGCCTTCGGCAGCGACGGTGTCTGCTTTCAACGCATTTGCTGCGTCAAATGGCTTGAAGACGACTGGGACCTCCCCCAACGGCGACTGGGTGTCCGTGACTCTCCCTGTCTCACAGGCCAACGAACTGTTCAACGCCAGCTTCGAGCTGTTCTCGCACCCTGACCTGGACGTCAAGATCCCGCGCACGATGACTGTCTCCCTGCCGAGCGATATCGTCGGTGTGGTCGATGTGATACACCCTTCGACCTCGTTTGTCAAGCCCGTGGCTCGATTGGCCCGGGCGCCAATGAAAATCGGTGTTCCGAAAGAGAAGCGCGCTATCTCGGCCTCGTGTAATACTAATCTCGCGAGCAATTTCATGAACCCAGCGTGTCTGCAGGAGATCTATCAGCTCCCGACGATGGCTGCAACTGCAAAGAACAACTCATTGCTAGTCACCGGGTATGCTGACCAGTATGCTGAGATTTCTGACTTGACGGTGGGATTCGAGTTTGCGTGTTGGGTCATGTCCTTGCTGATGATAAAGTAGACGTTTTTGGCAAAGTTCCGACCGGATATTGCCACCGGGTCAAACGCGACATTCGCGCTTGAGACAGTTGATGGAGGCGAGAACATTCAAGACCCGAACTTGGCTGGAGGCGAATCGAATTTAGATATCCAATACACTGTTGGTAAGTTGGTGAACAGGTCTCATCCTCTGACCTTGGGCTTATGCACAACCTAGGACTGGCTACTGGAGTTCCTGCCACGTTTTTGTCCGTTGGAGGCACCGATTTCTCGACCATGTTAATCGACACGACAACCTTTCTTGATGGTGTGAGCAATCCGCCGTGGGTGATGACCACATCGTACGGAGTTGCCGAGTCGGCTTTCAGCAAATCCGTAGCAATGTGAGCGATCCAGGTGATCTACTCAAAGGCTCGCTCATCCATCCACAGCCGAATCTGTAACGGTTTCATGGCGCTAGGAGCCCGAGGTATCTCCGTTGTCTTTGCCGCTGGAGATGTGCGTGTGTCGTATCGAAAGCGGACTGTCGGCTGATCTATGGCAGGGGGGTGTTCGGGGTGCTCATGACTCGAAGAAAGAGTGTAAAAACAATACATTCACGGCAGAGTTTCCCGCGGCGTGCCCGTTCCTGACGTCCGTCGGCTCAACGATCGGGCTCCCCGAAACGGCGGCCAACTTCACGAGTGGAGGGTTCTCGGATGTATTCCAGTCGCCAGCGTACCAGACAACCCAGGTCGCGTCTTTCCTCAAGACCGTTCCGTCCGATTTCAAGGGCATCTTCAACCGCACGGGCCGTGGCTTCCCTGACGTGGCCGTCCAAGGCTATAACTTCGAGCTCATCATCAGTGGTGCACTGGAGTCGATCAGCGGGAGCAGCGCCTCGTCGCCCACGTTTGCCGCGATCGTCGCGCTTGTCAACGACCGGCTGTTGGCCGCTGGGAAGCCCGTTCTCGGATTCCTCAATCCGTTCCTGTATGCCAACCCACAGATGTTCACTGACATCAAGACCGGGCGCAACACGGGCGACGTCTGTCCTCCCTCCTCGGTCGCGTTTGAAGCCACAAAGGGCTGGGATCCGTTGAGTATGTCGTGATGGCTTTCAGAAGCATCCAGCTCACGTACAATGTGCCGATTCCTTCTGGCGACCCCACACCAGAGACTTTGGATGAGGCCATCGAGGAGCTTAGCAACCAACTCAGTTGGACTTCGACTGAGCACCTCCGTGCCAGCATCCCGTTCCGCAAGGTGCGTTGGATGAAAGCGAAGGGTGGTCCCCGCAAATCCGGCATGTCACACCTCCCTGTTGCCTCTGTTTTGGTACCTTTCTTTGCCGAGGCAGATGCGAATCGCCTCGTGCAAAATGGTGTGTTCCTGTTCTCAGAACACCTCAGGGTTTCTCGATACAGACCTCGGTCGCAATCAGCCACACCGTAATTGGCTTTGATGCCCATCACACCCTTTGCTATTTCTTGAGGGCTGTATGCCCTATGTTTCATGTTGCGCTCAGACCTACCTACAGTACATGCATGTCCCATACAACCCCTACCTCCCCACCTTCATCTCATACAGTCAACGGCCGACAAGTCCAGTCGATACCTCCTTCCCAGCTGCCTCCGGGCACCGCGTCTTAGTAGTTAGTTTACTTGTTGCGGAATACAAATGCAGATTCAAACAAACATCCAGCTCACGTGATTGCAGCTGGCATGGGCACACCCATCTTCCCCAAACTTCTAGCGGCTGCGATGGGATGAAGAATCCCCTCCGCAATATGGTCTGGGAGCCAATAGACTACGACCTCGAACACAGCCTGTTCATAATCCATACACGAACATGCTAAATGTGTCACACCACATCTTACACTGTCTTGGCTAGGGATCCATGACCAAACTCCGTCGACGCGCAATCGGGTTCTGTGGCCTGAGAATCCCTCGTAGCTTTCGAGTGGGATTGCGGCCTCCACGAGCCGTGTGAGTTGAGATTGACACTGAGCGAGACCGCGTTGGCAGATGTGTCTTCGCGGTGAAGCGAGAATCGAGCACGCGAATTGAGGATCTTCGAAAGACGTCAACATGTGCCAAGGATCCAAAGGCGAAGCGAATGCTTACAAGCAGAATGCTGTTGGAATACACCTTCGACAGACCCATGCACACACCCAGATGAAAGCTCTCCCCAGGAAAGGAGATGAAGAGACTCAGATCGATCAACGCCAATCCCGCACAGATGAACCCCGTCAGAGCAGTAACCTTGATGACACGTCCAAGCATGTGCTCCGTCGCTTGTGTGAAGCCCGGTGTGCGCGCTTTGAGGAGGTAGTAGCAGGTCCCGGCAACGATGATGATATCGTTCACGGCTGTCGAGGCAAGCCACGCGACCGGAACTTTGAAGAAGTCGAACTGCAGGTTGGAGAACCTCCCGCGTTGGCTGATTTGCACACCAGTCCCGATGCCGGCACCGCATTGGACGACGGCGAGCTGTTCTCGATGCGTGAGGAGCGACGTCAGAGGCAGGGAAGGCATAGAGACCGACCAAGACGATGAGACCCGGTAGCAGGTAGCTACGTGCGAAGATCGATATCCTGTATGCGAAAAAGGTCTGACCAGCAGCCGCAACTATTTAGGGCTCAGCGGACGCGATGACTTCATCCAGCTGACACACCCATTGATCCTAGCACAGGCACGCTGAACCACACCCATCCCACTTGATCCAGGACGTCCAGATTCCCCCATCCAGTGCCGAATATCCGCACTTTGTCCCGGATATCGCCAGTCGTCTGCAGTAGTTCGATCACGAGCACACCAAAGACGAGCGCTTTTTCGCGCGGCCGGTCGCGGGGAAACGCCAGAGTATAGATGTCTGGCAGAAATCCATCGTGAGTAGACTGGGGGAGAGAACAACGAGCTGATGAGACTCACAAACTTGCACAAGGAGGACGCCGAATAGGATGACGTTCACCAGGGTCCCTACGAAGAGTGGGATCGTCCTGGAGGCACCGTTAGTCAATAACTACTGCAGTGCAGCGAATGCACACACCCGTTCCCGACATTTGACAAAGCACTCGTCGCAGGCATAATTCACCAGAACACAGATCAAAGAGGCAGAGGAGGTTGATACAAAGAGTTGAGAGAACTCGCTCTAGAGAAAAGCCCCAGGAAGAGCAAGATTTCTAGTCTTCATTATGTGGAGCGCGACCAGTACAAGTATAGACGCGCTTCCGTGTTCCAAGGGGTGATGAAAAGCAATGGTGGAGACTAGGAGATGGTAATTGCATGGAGGGCCGAGGGAAAGTGGATCCCGTCAGATTCCTTAGTCCCCAGCTGGATCTTCCCGCGGAATCGAGGCCCGTTGAAGTGATGGCGCGCGCTGCACGAGTATGATCGACGACATGCAGTGGTGATCACCACGATGATACGGCCCAGGCGACGGAAAGATGAGCGCAGATAGACCACACCCGCGTTTGGCTTGCCAAGGAAACAGAAGTGGTTGTCCTTCGACCTCACCGTGACGGTCGCGAGAGACTGGCACTGTGGATGGATACAAGTGGCAGTGTATCACGTGTGGATCTTCCGCTCCATCAAGCCACAACTGGTCCGACTCCACTAGGCCTTGAGGATGACCAGACTGAATTCTTCCAATATGAGAGCATCAGACGATATCGCGGATGACAACTTAAAGATGGTTTTTCCGAGAACCGCGGCCAGCAGGAGTTAAGGGTGACGAACAATCACTCTTGGTTTCACGGCGCCGGGCGGACGGGAGCCTTACTTATTGGTATGAACTACGTGTCTGTTGATTGTCTGGTTTCAAAACCGGTATCGGCGCCACCGCCAGTCTTAAGGCCTGTCAGTCTGAAGTTTAAGCCCGACACCTCACTTGGTGCCTCGTCACGACGGAGCGAGATTCGAGCGCGCGAATTCAGAATCTGGTCAGAAAATGGGACACTTGAGCGACGGAATCCTTGTCACGTCGCAAAGGAAACCACGCACAACCAGGATGCTATTCGAGTACACTTTGGACAAACCCATGCAGAGGCCCAAATGGAAGCTCGCCTGGGGAAACACGGCAAAGATGGTCAGATCCGACAATGCCAGGACTGCACAGACAAGGCCAGTGATGGTGGTTACTTTCATGACGCGCGAGAGCATGTTTTCCGTAGCGCGCGAGAAGCCCGGCGCGCGGGCTTTGAGCAGACAGTAGTACGTCCCGACAACGATAACGATATCGTTCGCGGCGGTCAGGATAAGCCACGCAGCAGGTGCTTTGAAGAAGTTGAATTGGAGGTTGGAGAATGTGCCCCGCTCGTCGATGATCACACCAGTCCAGATACCAGCACCACATTGAGCCAGAGACATCTATTGAGTAGATGAGAGAGGTGCTCTGGTCGAGAGACACTTTACATACAAGTGTGATGAATGCAGGGAGATACCAGCTCTTCCCAATGATATATATTCTGTACGCGAAGAAGGTCTGACCGACCGCCGCGACTGTCCAAGATTTCTTAGTCTGAAGCTTGAAGCTGTAACAGAAAGCGCACCGATAGAACCAAGAAGGGGCACATTGAACCACACCATCCCAACCTTATTCAGTTCGCTAGGGTCTCCCCATCCGTGTCCGAATACCCTGCTCTTGTCTTTGATGTTGCTAATTGTCTGAACGATTTCGACCGCAAGGATGGCCCACACCAGCGTTTTGTCCCGCCGTCGGTCATGGGGAAAGGCCAGAAAGTAGATGCCTGCGCGCTGATGAGTCTCTTAAATATGGTCCAAAGAAAAACGCACATATTTGTACAAGGAGGACGCCAAAGAGCGTGCAGTTGAAAAGCGTGCCGACGTACAGAGGGATCGTCCTGAAAGAGCATCAGTTGCAGCCCCATCGACTCAAGGGCAGCACCCACTCATTTCCAATATCTCGAAGGAAGTTTGCCGAGTCAGACATCGAACGCACAGGTCAGGATAGAGCAGTTATCACAACGAAGCAACTCATGAGTGCTATAAAGTTCTCTGATAACAGCTCACAGACTTCAAGTTCCAAGGGGTGATGAACAAATATGCGTTGCAATGTAGCGGTGGCTCCCAGGACTCCCAGATGGCGATGAAATCAGATCGAAGAACCAGCAGGTATCGGATCGGCATCAAGTACTTAGACTATATATGTGGAAAGATCCAATGGTCGTGATGATAATCATACCAGAGGGCTGAAGAGAAAAGTGCTGTGGGGAAGAGTAATTGGATGGGGATGAGATCGTTGGTTTCCGCGGAAGATCCCTCTTGACGTCAACCTTGATGTGCGCCTCCTGATTGCCCGTAGTTTCGGCGCCAAGACGTTTCAAATGCGCGAAGGAGCACAGGGACAGGATAACAGAGGCTAGCTGGTTCGAGGGAACAATAGCTGAATGAAGAGGCAAGCGTAGGCCATTAAGGTTGAGTGAAGAAGCGCAAGATATCGTGAAATTGGATTGCGTATTGCGCGACCACAGTGATGACTGATCGAGGTTCCCAGCACGCTCACTTTCAGTTCCAATCCGCAAGGCGCTGTACGCGATCATGAGCGTAAACACGAAGACGCTGGATCATATCGTACACCTCTCACCACCAGGGACCGTCCATGAAAACGCAGCCCAGTGGCGCGAACTGGGCTTCAAGTACGACACAAACGGCTTTCTGCTACTCTCTGTCTGATCATATTATCCCCCTCCATCATGCAGCGTCATCGAGGGAGGTGTTCACGCGGACGGTCTGACCGAAAACACGCTCGTGGTATGCCTTACACTTGCCCGCATCCCCTGCTTGAAGTGCAAGCCCCGTTGCACAGATACTGAGCGATCACATCTACTTCGAGCTGATCGCATTCACCAAGCCCGTCGACGCCTATCCGCCTGGGTCCCCGATCCGAAAGGCGCGTGAAGAGCACAAATGGGCCTCCTGCCCACCAGGGTGGATAGACTACGCCTTCCTGGGCAACGGGTCGCTCGTCCCGCCGGGACGTATCTCGGATGTGATCAACAGCAGGGCAGGGGGAGAGAAGCTGTATGTGGATGAGGTTCCCGGAGGTCGCACGCGGCCAGACGGACAGGTGCTCGAATGGGTGATCAGCTCGGCTGCGAAGAAGGCGAGCTTGCTTCCGTTCTTTTGCGGCGATGTCACAGACAGAGCACTGAGAGTGAGTTTTCAATTGCTGAGGAAGAACCTCGAGAAAATTTCTTGACTCACTGCTCAAGGTACCTACCAAACCGGAGAGCAATACGCAGCAGCCATGTGGGGCACAAGGAATTGCCCATATCCTGCTGCTCACCGACTCCGAGCCCAAGTTCTGGCAGGCACTGAAAGAGATCAGCGCGGTAGTTGACTCCCAGCCGCAAACAGGCCATGCGACGAAGGCGACATGGACGCTGGCAAACCCTTCCGCGCAAGGCAAGAGTGCGCCGAGTCTGATCCTGGCGGTGGCTCGAGGTGTTGAGCAGGAGGCTTTTATTGCCGGTAGCTCGGCTCCACGGCTGTTCGAGGTTGGGCTTTGGGTAGCGGAGGGCGAGAAGGCTAAGACCATCTGGCCGCCCTACGCGAGGATCGTCTTGGTACCTCAGTGAAATCGAGTTTCATATTCGGTAATACTGTGTTGGTGATACGATTAAACGCATAGTCATGTAGAACGTAAGTGTATACTGTTCAATCCAGTCTATTACACGACGAGAAAAGCCCGGTATCTGATCTTGCCTTCCCTCAGCCGAGACATGCCCTCCTCAACACCTTGCTTCGTCATCGGAGATTTCTCGATCATCGGCTCGATTTGGTTGCGTGCGGCGAAATCGACCATGCGGCGGTGGACTGAGCGGGCAGCGACGGTCGAGCCCTGGATGTCGAGTCCGCCCAAGATGAGGGGAAGACTGGGGATGGAAAAGTTGTCCTGGCTGACCGTAAGCGGGTAGATCGTGCCTTTCCGCTTCATCACAACCAGGTAGGGAGCCCCAGGATGGGATGAAGCTGGTCGTCACGATCAAGTGGTCCAGCGGCCGCATGCTCTTGAATTGGGTCAGAGCCTGGGTCCCGTGGAATTCCGACGCCCCCAACCGCGCTGCCTCCTCTCGTTTCGACCCCAAGCTTGAGAAAATCACAACCTCCGCACCCATCTTCGCGGCGAACATGACCGCCAGGTGTGCCAGTCCGCCGATCCCGACGACGCCGACACGCTGGGTGGTCCGGATCTTGTAGCTCTCGATCACCTCGAATACAGTCGCTCCGCCGCACATCAGGGGGCAGCGTGTTCTGAGGCAAAATTTGCCAGGATCTGGAAGAGGAACCGCTCCTTCCAGACCGCGTACGTGCCGAACGAGCCCTAGTCGAAGCTGTGCGTGCCGTACATCTCGTGGTCCGTGCAGTACTGGTCCTGCCCTGGAAGCACATCAGGCGAGAGTCAGAGAGGGCTCGCAGAAAGCGGACTAACCGTGCAGACAGCGCTCGCATTTGCCGCATGTCTTATGTACTGTATCCCTATCCGACGACATCGCCAACGCGCAGCGTAGACACGTCAGAGCTAATTTTCTCGACGACACCGACCCCCTCGTGTCTCAACGCCATGTCTGCGTGCTTGTAGTGCTCTTCGGTGCCACAGATGCCGGAATGCGTGATGCGGACCAGGACGTGGACCCCGGTTGGCTTGGGTCGAGAGCTCGTTGCTTCGACGATGCCATCAGCTTTCGAGCCTTTGAAGACGGTGAATTCGACGCTCATGCTAGTGATATAAGTGGTAGCAGTGGTGGTGGTTTTGATGCTTGTAGAGAAGGATGTTGCTGCTCGTCTTGTAACCGTTGGTCCATTTTGAGTTCCACCTCCATGACAGACCGACTTAGCAAGCTAATCCGTGGACGTGTTCATTGCTGAGAGAACAATTCCAGATGCCATCGGTCGCTGGTCCCTCACAGCGATCCCGGATGCCGCTGCAGTGAGCTCGATAAGTGAATTGGTAAGCCCAGAAATCTTCTTAGTGATGCAGCCTGGCAGCGTTAGACGACTCGTCCTTTCAGCAGAGGGGCTGAGCATTTGAGAACTGACTGCAGTTTCCCCGAGCCAAAGAGGCCAAAGTCAGAAGGACATCCCAGGGAATGAGAGCTAAATGTGGTCCGCATCAGAGAAAGTTGGACTGATTTCCCACGACTCGGTCAACTCCATTAGGCTCTCGTACTTGGTCGCAATCAACTAGCATCATCTCTTCCCGCCCAATACATACATGAATAGTAAACGCCAGGCTCTGTGGCTAATCAAATGATCCACATAGAAGGCTCGCCTCAGGTTTTACAGCTCTCCAAACAACTTGGTGGGCCCAAATGGCAAAATTTCTCGGGTTTCGTCGACCGGCGACGTTCCACCGAAGTCGGCTGGAGGACGTTCTAAATCTTCTCCGACACTTCAAAGCCAAGCAGTCTACCGGTTTTCGATATCGTCACGCTCCCCCAACTCGACGTCCGTTTTTGAAACCTCAGAACTCCTCGAATGCTTTCCATCCCTTCGACTGCGCTCAAACCTCGCACGTCCGCTTTTCGAAACCTCTTAACTCGTCTCCCATCCGAAACCATAGTGCTGGCATGTTCGGTCACCCTTGGTGACACCCTACTCATCGCCATCGCCGTCGTTGTCCTCATGGATCCCTCCACCCTCTTTCATGGCACCATCATCATGCTCGTCATTCGAGCCCATCTCTGTTGTGTCTTCGAGCCCCCTTCGTTCGTCCTCCGGCATGGCTTGAAACTGGAAATGACAGCAGCTTCTGTTTCCTTTGTACTGTGCCGACGGGCCGAGGGCATCGGTTCTCATCTTGCGCGGCGAATAGACACGAGGAGAAGACCTGGATTGGGCTGCCCCAGTGGAATGGATGACGAATGTTGCTGAGAGGGCTATACTGGGCTTTCGGCCAGCACAGGGATCATCAAAAACGGGCTATCCGAAGCTGGGAAGACACTCCACACTCCCGGAACTACGCTTTCCGTGGGCGACGCGGTCCTGCTAGGGCTGGAGATTCCCTGCGTTTTTGATCCCAGTGTCAACACTGTGTCCCGCCAGACCCGCTGTCGCCTCAGGATTTCTGGTCTTTGATCGCTCTGAGGCGTATGGCTAGGCTGTGCTATCTGGTACTTAAGCAATATGCTCTCGAACAGCGCGCCTATGGGGACTGACCATTCGTCGATCTTGGATGAGGAGCGAATGTCTGGTCTTCCCAATACTGCGATATGCACCAGTGGACGCTTTCATATCGTCGATTATGTGCCAGTTTCACACTCTCGCAGCTCTCTGTGCTTGCTTCTCTTCACGGGGAAGAAAATCAGGTCTGAAGAGCTGGCACTGCCAGCACTGCGACGACTCCCTCTCCTCATCCGACCTCCGTTCGGTTCTCGCTCTTTTTCCGTGAAACATGTATACCTATCAGGACTGCGTATACGCTGGGAGTGCTCACAAATGAACGTCACATCGCCTGCTCACCGCTATGGTCTCCTAGCTCGTTAACTAGAACATCTATGGATCTCTCAGCCGAGCTCCCGCCCACGTTCAGGCACTACAGCCGCCGGGCCGTTTCTCACCTTTCTCTGTGTCAACTCCGAGCCGACGCCACTCGAAATCCATGCTCGAAAACGAGCGGCTTAGACTCGGAGGCTGTTTGATTACCGATGTGGAACGCCACCAATCGCAGTTGAACGCACAGGACCACTCTGAAAATACGTATAACCAGCCAAATCAGGGCCAACCACCTACTCTCGGCGGCCGGGACAGCCTGTGTGAGTGCCCGAAGGTTGATGCAACAGCACAGAGTGCGCAGGCACTGATAATCATCACCCTTTCCTAGTCCAAAGAGCTCGCCCTTCCTGGACGCTTGTCACCGGGCGTGCTCGTGCTTTCTCGATCTATACATCCCCTTCCTCGACCGCTGCTCTGCCAGCCGCACTGGAACCTCACGGTTCCCTCAGCGATGTGTCAATCTGAGACAGGCCCTCGGGCCTGCCCCAATAGCTCTACGATACGGGCGACCCCATATCGGGTCCGGTTCCAAATTGGGATCCTCGGTTCACGCGCTTCCTCACATCCCCCATTCGAATTCCAAATACACAAGCTACAACCTCACGAACGTGCCAGAGCCGCCACACGATCCGCAGTTCTTCTACAGTCCCTCTGTCGAAGACAATCAATCAGGACCGCGGGTCGACAACCACCCAATCCTTGCACGTACGACAATCAATCTTGCACGCAGACAGACTCTCGCACTCGGCGGCATTCGGGAACAGGGCGCAGCACTCGCGGCAGAACTCCGCGCAGCCCTGTTGACGGTCGGTCAGCGCATGTAGAAATGAGGTCACGGGTCGACCGCACTGACCACCGCAGTGCCATGCCCGAGGCAGGAACGGTCTGGCGGTGTAGTCTGGGCTTGCACGTCAAGCATGACGAGGGCCGCGAGGACAGAGAACAGGGCGGTGAAGCGCATAGTGTCGACAGACAACACAGTACGTCCCACCCCCCTGGCAGGTTCTTTTATATAGTAGTACCGCTGCTACATTCAAGTTTAGATAGAACCCAAGTCAGCTGAGCAGCATTCATCCTTTCATCCTTTCAAAGAGCAGACAGCGTGGCCAAGTGAGAAACATAGAAAGTGTGTAGTAGATTCATTCCCGCACGATGGCGAATACGTTAGACAGGATACATGCGATGCGGCGTACGGAAACATTGAGCGTAAAGAACAACAGAAACATGGACAGAGGGATAATAGAACATGAAACAACCGGCGGCAGCGATTAGAGCTCGTCGTCAGTGATATCCTCACCACGCTTCTTCCGTGCCATCCGCTCCTTCTTGAGCTGCACAAAAACGTATCAGCATCCGCGCAGTAGCAGAATAGATAGGGACGATAACGCACCTTCCTAGCCTCGGACGCGCTGATCTTCTTGACCTTCTTGACCTCGATCTTATTACCCATCGCATCGTACTGGACCTCCTCATCGCCATCAGCCTTGTCGATACGGGGTCCAGAGCCCTGGCCCTCAACCCAGTTGTGGCCAGATGCCTCCAGACGCCCATCACGCATGGCCCAGACTTCAGAGCAGATCGACTCGGAGAAGTCCCGGTTGTGCGTGATGATCAGGACACCACCCTCGAAGACCTTGAGCGCCTCGATAAGGGCAGCGAGCGATTCACGATCGAGGTAGTCTGATGACCGATATCAGCAAACAATCAAAGACCCGTGAAACCCGAGTAGACACGTACTGGTAGGCTCATCCAGACAGATGACGTGGGGACGACGCCATGTAGCAGCGCCGAGCACGATCTTGACCTTCTGACCACCGGACAGACCACGCATCGTGTTGTGCGAGACGAACTCCGGCTCCAGACCAAAGTCAGCAAAGTGCTTCTCGATCTCGCGACGGACGAGCGGTCGCAGCAATCCAAGACGCTGCGCCTCACGGGTGTCGACCTCGAGCACTTTCTATTCATGCTATCAGTATCAAGCCAAACCAGCTTGCATGAAGAAAGCCCACCTTCTCGAAACCACGCTTGATAAGCTCATCACGGGGAAGCCAGATGTTCTCGGAGGAGGACATGCCCTTAAGTGTGACCTCGTACTCGTACGACTGCTTGAGCTTCTTGCGGGCAACGATCTCGTCGATCAGGCGCTTGTTGCCCTCGATGACGATGGCAGATCCGTCCTTCATCTTCTGCGCCTCCTCCTCGGAGATGATACGGTTGGCCTTGGTCATCTCCTCCAAATCTTCACCGGTCTGGTAACGCCACAACATGTACTCGAGCGCGGTCTTGTCCAGGTGGTGATCGATGTGGTGGAACGCGTGCTGGGCGACGTAGCCGATGACCAAGTTCGGGTGCTTCCAGATCTCGCCACCCTTGTTGGCCTCCATGTCACCGATCAGCAGCTTTACGAGCGTACTCTTGCCGGAACCGTTCGGGCCGAGCACAGCGACACGCGAGGAGAGCGAGACCTGCAGCGAGATGTCGAACAACTGCTGCACCTGCTGCGTCGGGTACTGGAAGCCGACTTTACGCATCTTGAGCAGCGACTTCTCCTTGGTCTTGACACCCTCCAAGAGAGGAGGATCCGGGAGCTTGAAGCGGTAGTCCTCGGCGGCCTGCAGTGTGTAGTACGACTTGGCCTCCGGCACCGTGGCGACGAACTTCTCCAGGTTGCCGCGATACCTCCTGAGCTTGAAGCGGTTCAGGTGCAGCACGTCGGTGATGGTGTTGTTGAGGAAGCTGGAGTCGTGCGAGACGATGACTAACAACCGAATCAATGAGTCTCTGAATCCTACATGAACCAAGAAGAATACACACTGGAAGTGCAGGTCTTGAGACCAGTGAGGTAGTTCTCGAGCCATGCGACGTTGATGACATCCAAGTGGTTAGTCGGCTCGTCGAGCAGCAGGATGTCAGCACGGAAGAGAATAGCACGGGCAAGTGCGAGCTTCATCTTCCATCCACCAGACAAACTGCCAATAGCGTGCTGTTGACGAGCGTCGTTGAAGCCGACAGAGGCGAGACTGTCAATGACCTCCTCCTTAGTGGCGAGGATACGCTTGTCAGACAGGATGAACTCGAGGACAGAGGTGTCTTCCTCGCTGCCGTCGATGTCGTGCTCGACGTAGAACGTGCGGACCTCGTCGGGAGAGGGGAAACCCTCGACTTGGCTTGGGGCAAGTCAGATACTAGGCATGAAATTCGAAGCGAATGAACGCACCCATTGGTGATAGCACGCATGAGCGTCGACTTTCCGGTTCCGTTCTTACCACACAGACCGTAACGGTGTCCACGCTTGAGGCGGAGGGTGGCGGTGTTGAGCAAGATCTTGGCTCCGTAGGCGAGCGAGAACTGGCAGTTACACAGGTCCTCGCCCTCCTCCTCATCGTCTTCGACGGCACCATCGTCCTCACCCTCGACAGCGGACTTGACGACCCACTCACGTGCGACCGTGATGGCATCCGGAGTGGTGGTGACCGCAGCCAAGTACGGTGCGAGCAGGTCCCACTCAGGGACATCGAAGTTGCGCTGGTTGACGAGGTTGGAAGCGAGCGTAGCAGCGTAGACAGCCGAGACGTCCTTGAGGTCGATTGTGCCGTTGAGCTTCTTGTAGATGGCACCGAGAGATGCGCCGAGACCAGCGGCATCAGCGACCTTCAAAGGAGGCAAGTCCGAACCGTCGCTGGCAGCAGGGACCTCTCCGACCTGGCGAAGGGTCGCGATGGCCTTGTTGACGACACCCCGGGCTTCAGGGTCACCGATGGTTGTCTCGACCTTCAGCAGACCCGGAAGCAGCTTGGGAATGAAAGGTCGGACAGTGACGGCCGAGTCGACAAGCTTGGCCATGTTGTCAATGATGCTGGAAGCATCTTGTCAGCACGCATGATGCCAAAAGAAGATTGCGCACTCACACAGCGACCTTCCGCTTGGTGGCGGTAAGCTTCTCGGTCAGACCCCGAGACAGCAGAGGAACCATGAGGGAGAGAGTCGGGGAATCTACTTCAGAAACGAAAGTGGTAGCCGAGAGGAGGGCGATGGTGTTCGGAACCTCCTCGACGGGATTAATCAAAGCGTTGATAAGCGCCGGAATAAAGCGTTCAATGTCCTTGTTGGAAATGAGAGCCGTAGTCTTCGTGAGCGAATCACGGGCGGCCTTCTTCACGTCGGTCTTGGTGTCCCAGATGGCCTCAGAAAGGACAGGCACGATCTCGGGCGTCAGCTTAGCCATCTGCGTCGGTGCGCTGGTGACGAGCTGGTTCAGGACGACCAGGGAACCGGTCTTGATCTGCCACTTGCCGGCGGTTTTGATTTCGTGAAGAAGAGCGGGGAGAACGTTGGGCGAGGCCCATGGGTTCATGGCAGCGACGTACTCGCGGACAGCCTCGACAGCCGCTGTCCGGGCAGCGGGCAGCTTGTCGGCGAAGCCCTCAATGAGTGCGGCGTACAACCCAGAGCTGATGAAAGTGGGCTCGAGGGCCTTGACGCCGCCTTCCTTGGCGAGCGTCTTGACGGCGTCTGCGGCACCCTCGCGGGCAGCGGGAGACTTTTTGTCGCCGAGAGCCTTGATGATGGCATCCGTGACGCCAGTGAGAGCCGAGGGGCCCTGCTTTTGGGCGAGCGCAGCAAGCGAGGCGGCCGATGCGTCACGGCTAGCTTTGTCGGCACCAAAAAGGCTCTGGACGTCGAAGTCCTTGAGGGAAGCGGGAGCGGGGGTAGCAGCGGGCATTTCTAGATTCTTTGTGGCCATCGTAAGTAGGTCTACAGGCCTCTATTTGGATACAAACCTTGAGAGTGGGAAATGCGTTAAGAGGTGATCTCTGGTGATTGCGGACAAGGCTAACAGGACAAAGAACGCTCTATGGGCGATATCTAGGTTGGCTGAAAAGCCTACAGAGACGATCAGCAACGATCTTGCTGAGTTTTATAGGACGCACCTCTACGGCAGAATGGGGGGAAGAAGAGAAAGTAGAGATTACTGATCAGCAGCGTCGTTTTTTCAAGCTCCGCAAACACGGGCACACAGCACAGCCGCAATCCGGGTCAGCTGTTGCCTTTACAGGTTTTCTGGGAAGAGCCCAAGATCCCGGCCGTCGATTCTCTCGTAGTCGTGGCTAGCACGATTTTCAACCGCCTATCCTGCCCAATCTCAGTCTTGCGTTTGGCTGCATCCTTGCCCTCATTTCGCGTGTTTTCTGTGACTTCTATGGATCGCATCTGAAAAACCCCAGTCCAGTCGAGTCGGGAACGGTCCCCCGCGATCGCCAGACTCGTGACCCAAGCCCTCCGTTGCTCGGAAGCGTCGCCGCAAGTGACTCAATCACCATTCAGTTGCGGCTGTATGTACCGCAACACGTCCCGGCCAAGCCAATCACTCATGTTTCTCGTTCTTTCCCAAGCTCGTGCTGGACACGTTGCTGCACCATCGATGCACGACCTTGTGAGGCCTGAGCCTTGGTCGCTTCGTCGCCTCGCTGCACTATTTCCGGCCTCACTGCCCTGTTCCCGGCTTCGGTGCTTCGCTCCCAAGCACTCAATCGATCCATTCAGACCGTCGATCGAGTTCTCCAGGGGTTACCGCCCCGATCTGACATCTCTGACGATGGTAACCAGCAGCAATCTTGTTCCCAGTGTCGTAAAACCGGCCATGTCTGTGCGTGAATGAGGGTGCCCACGACTGCCTACTGCAGCCCTCGGCGTTAAACTCGCTTGCTCCCTGCCCATGCGGATTACACCAGTTGGGTGACTGTCCGAGCGCAGTGGATGTGCATGTTAGAGAGACCCTGGACCGAGTGTCCGAGCCCCCGATCCGCGCGACATGTGAATGACAGCGCAAATAGTGTGGGGTAACCAGTCCGGCGATTTGAACATCCGGGGTAGACGGACCTGCATCAGCGTGTCCTTCACACACCTTGTAGATCATCATGTATCACCATATATCGCATCGCCGCCGTCGTAACATGACGCATACAACTATTTCATCCTGCACCCAATCCATAGCTCCTCCCCGGCGCACCAAAGCGAAAGGCGCCCGCACCGCCACACGTCGGCTGCTTGAAGTCACCGACGCGCGTCAAAAGGTTAATCCCGGCGCCCATCCCCACACGTCATGCCATCACCGCGAGGCCCGACCTCTCATCTTCTCTGATGCTTTCACTCGTTCTTTTCCTCGCGTGTCAGGAGACTGCCCCGCATTTGGGTTTCCGGGTCAGCGACAGCTCCACTCAGCCTCCACCGTGCCAGAGTCGGGTGACGCCCCCCGGGACAGGCGCGCGGTCTTCTTAAATTTATAAGAGCGAGACGTGCCGGCAGCCACGGTTCTCCCCCTTCTCGCCCCCCATTTCCCCCCGATGGACCACACAGCGCTGCAAGCGACCAACGCGGCCCGTCGCGCCGAGCTCGCCGGCCCATCGGGCCTCCTTGGACTGTACCACAACCCGCGGCTGCTCCGGCTCGCGATGACCACCACCCTGGGTGCCTTATGCTACGGTCAGCGCGGCCTGCCGCCGGGGAACTCGTGCCCTCATCTGACACATCCCTCGTTTGCAGGCTACGAGCAGGGCGCGTACTCGCAGGTCCTCGTGATGGACGCGTTCACCAGCAACCCCAAGTTCGCCCGGATCGCACACGACTCGTCGTTCAAGGGGTGGAGCGTCTCGTGCGTCCGTCGCTCGCACAGGACAGAGCTTCTCGTTCACACGCACTTACAGCACACTGGGGCTTGGCGGTTGGGCCGGTGCGCTTTCGAATGTACGCAGCAGCAGCTGATCCAGTCCCCATTGCGCAAGTCTGATTCACGGACATGAAGGGTTATCTATGCGACAGACTGTCCCGCCGGTGGACTCTGCTCGTCGGCGCGTTTATATGCTTGCTGGGCACCGCATTGACCACCGGCGCGCAAAATGTTGCCTGGATGGCAAGTTGAACACCGCGGTCGGATCCCTGTAAATCCTCACTTCCCCACAGTTCGTCGGCAGATTCTTCATCGGCTGGGCGGTCGGCAGTCTATCGGCAGTGGTACCCTTGTACGCGATGCTTTACCGCGCCCTCGAGGCCTTAGTCTTACACTCGCCAGGTACAACTCTGAGATCTCCCCTCCAGAGCTCCGCGGCACGCTCGTCTCAATCCAACAGCTGGCCATCGTTTCCGGTATTTGCATCTCATTCTGGTGACCCTCATCTCTACCTTTCCAAAGCCGCAGATAGCTTATCCAACAACCAGGGTCGGCTACGGGACCAACTTCATCTCAGCCTCCAATTCCGTCTCATGGCGGCTCTGCCTCGCCGGCCAAGGCATCCCCGCCCTCCTCCTCGCCGGTCTGACGCTCACATTGCCGTACACGCCGCGGTGGCTAGTCCGCAAGGGGCGCCACGCCCAAGCGCTCGAGACTCTCGCGTGGCTGCGCAACATGCCGCCGGACTCGGAGATCGTGCAGCTCGAATTCGTCGAGATCCAGGCCGAGGCGATGTTTGGTGGGTGTGGTCGTATTTGGCCCGTGTTCAGGACTGACGGGTTGATTTCATCAATTGTCGCTTTTGATGTTATTAGAGGCCGAGGTTACCGCGGAGCGATTCCCTCACCTGTTGGGCAAAGGTGCAGGAAAGGAACTGAAATTGCAGATCGCTCAGTTCGGCGAGCTGTTCGCAACTAAGCACATGTTCAAACGAACCGCCGGTACGTTGTACCGGGCAATCGGCGAACGGGTCCAGGCTGACAGACTTGTCTCCCAGTGGCGTGTCTCACCCAATTCTTCCAACAAATGTACTTTACCCCCTTCTCTTCGCCTTTTGCCTGTCCGCTGAACTGATCGACTCCTCAGGACCGGGATCGATGCAATCGTACGACCCTGGAATTTGCCGTAGTATGCCGACGCTGATCGATTGCCTCTCTCGGCCCACCTAGGTATACTACGCCCCGACGATATTCCAGTCCCTCGGCCTCCCAGGACACACCGTGTCGCTCCTCGCAGCAGGCGTCATCGGAGGTACGCCGCAGCCGCCGCCGCCACCTAGAGTCCCCCGCCTTCACACATCTGATCCACCCGCGCAGTGGTGTTCGTGATATCCACCCTCCCGGCGATTGCGACGATCGACCGGATCGGCCGCCGGCCCCTGCTGATTGTGGGCGGCGCGGGCATGGCAGCGATGCTCATCCTCGTCGCAGCGCTATCCGCGACGTACCAGCCGCGCTGGGAAAATACGGCCGCGGCCTGGTCGACGGCTGTATTTCTGTGGTTGTATGTAGCGTTTTTCGGCATGTCGTGGGGTGCGTCTCGAAAAGAAACTGGATATGTTGAATTTGCTTACGCGGTGGGGCAGGGCCGGTGTCGTGGACTGTGAGTCGTTGTCGGTTTTCTGGGGCATGCTGAGCGTTGATGGCTGTGATAGGTTATATCTGAAGTGTTTCCACTGTCCACCCGCGCGCACGGCGTCGCTCTAGGCGCATCGACGAACTGGATGACCAATGTTCGTTCCGCTCTGCTCCAAAAAGAATCATCTGATGTCACTCGCCCAGTTCGTCGTGTCGGTCGTCGTCCCCGACATGCTCTCCGCCATAACCTACGGAACATACCTGTAAGTCCCGCTCCCTCCGCATGGCATCGATGCCCATCCGCCCACCCAGATTCTTCCTCATGTTCCTGCTGATGGGTATCGCCTTTGCGATCTGGGTGCTGCCCGAGACGTACGGCAAGTCGCTCGAGGAGATGGACAGCGCGTTCGGGAGCGCGGGGCACGGCGGCGCGGAAAACGCCCGGATGGAGCGCATCCTCTGGAGTCTGCAGGGCGACCTCCGCGCGCTGTCGGCGGACAACGTAAACAAATCTGAATGAACGAGACGAAACGAAACGAAACGAAATCAATGTACTTTTCCTTTCGCTTCCGAGGCCCTTTGTGTTGCGTGTGGTTAGACCGGTCCGGGAGTGTTTGATAAAGGTCGTGACGGATCTACGCGCGAGTGCTAAACAAGTCAGGGCAGTGTCCGTCAGACTGAGCGTTCGAGCGGTAGCTTGGCATCTCGTCACGCGCCATCGTGTTTACGTCCGCGTATAAAGCGTCTGTGTGAGAAAGCATCATCCAAGTCGGTCAGCAGCAGCAGCAGCGTTGCGACTCAAAAATTGAAACCCAGCCCTGATCATGCGATTGACCTGCCTCTTCCTCTCGACCTTCCTGGTCGTGATCTGCATCTCGACACCGCGCACTCTCGGCCAAAGCGTATGCGCATTCAAATCATCGCCGTCGGTCCGTCGTCCTCCTTAGTCCCTGCTTCCAGTCCACGCTCCTGTTCGCGCTGACGCACGACGGCCGCAGGAATGCCGCACGCTCTGCGCGCACTGCTGCGCTGCGAATCCGCAGGACGAGGAGTGTATGCACAATCCGGGCACGTCCACGCCCTGCTTCAATGATTGCCGTGAGTGCTTTTTTTTGTGGCACAACAGCTCGCGGGTGCTGATGTTCGGAACTCGCGTAGTCAGCATATGAGGATCGTTACGTATGTAGTATGAGGCTCGGTATCGTTCATTGCACATGTCGAGCGAAATTCCAGACGTCAGAGACAGACTATCCGACACCAGCTCAAGTGCGCTTGATAAAGGTCGTGACGGGCCATCCAGGGCCTGACCGTCAAAACGCGCGCACTCAGCCATGTTCTGATCGATGACATCCCAGTCCGGGCAGTCAGTCAGTATAAGAAGCCGCTGGCGAGAACGGCAAAACCGCTGCAGCCGCAGATCGAACCATGCGCTTCCACCTGCTCCTGTCCACCCTGGTCGTGCTGACCGCGTCGACGCGCATCCTCGGGCAATCAGTCTGCATCGGGCACGGGACCGCCGCGGTCAGCACTACTCATTCTGGCACCCGCCTCGACCCGGAAGCTGACACCCCCCGCGCAGCAATGCCACAACTTCTGCGCCGAGTGCTGCGCTGCTAATCCGACCGACGAGGAGTGCGTCGGCCCCACGCACCCGAGTCCGATCCTCTGTATCAACGATTGCCGTGAGTCGTCCCGAGGGTGGCGACGTGGATTGGTATTGACCGGCTTCAGTGGGGCGCTGAGGGTTCTAGGTATTGATCCGTTTTGAGCAAATATATCACTTGACCAAGAAATGCAAAGGACCCGTCAAAATCGACGATATGGGCGGGATTCACTCGTGTAGATTGGGCCTGAGTCGGGCTAGCCATGGATTGATTGCCATCTAATCAAAGACTGCGAGAGTCGGATAGAGTCGTCCAACAAGCCATCTTGTCACTGGTTGTCAGTCCGTAATGCCAAATCTAAGCCTGAGAATCCAGATGTGTGTCAGCGTGACCTTGCACACCCTAGTCGAGCTGAGAGAACCAAACGATACCTCGAAACTATCCGTCCGGGGAGCGGCCTTTCTCGAGAATCGTCTTCAGCTTGATTGGAACCGCAGACATGAAGTGGACTGGGCTGACGGGTCGAGGCGGACCGGATCCCCTTCATGTTACGAGTGTGAGATAAAGTTCAGCGGTCAGCATCGACAGAACACGGCGCTTCATTCACATTGCCGGGGTCGTTGCCGCAATTGGACCGTGGAGGAGACCACAAGTAGCGATCACGTCACGGTGCCCCCGCGCTCGAGCCGGTTTTGATCTAATCGGCTCAACTGATAGACACGGCTTCTCTGCCACCGCTGTGTACAACGGTGCGTTGATACTTACAAACATATCTATCGGGCGCTGATTGCCCGCAAATCTCCGGCGCAACTTGCCCACGGAGGCTTGACGAGTATAAGAACGGGATGAGCCCTGGGGAAGGTTCCCGAGACACCCGCGAAAAAAACACAAATCGACATGCGCTTCAGCCTGCTTCTCTCGACCCTCGCCCTGCTCGCCGCGTCTACGGGCGTCCTCGCTCAGTCCGCAGACTGCCCTGGGCAAGGGCCTGTCGATGTACGTCACACCCATCCGCCCATCCGCTGAGTCCGCGCGATGACGGACAAATGCATTACAGTGGTGCCTCGAGCACTGCCGCAGCTGCTGCGCCCGCTTCCCGACGTCCTCCGAGTGCACGCCCAACAAGTTCACGTGTGTCAACTTATGCCGTGCGTCGCCCGAGGCCCACTCCTGCTTTTCACCTCGATTTGACTGATTCGCGTGACGTTGAACAGAAAGCCCGTAAATGTCGAGGGATAATATTCGATTCGGTCGCAGTGGGAAGCACATAAGAGCGGTCATGACGTTCTGGTTCACGGGATTCAATATGGAGACATCGCCGCGTCTTAAGTAGTGGTTAGTTTACTTGTTGCGGAATACAAATGTGGATTCAAACAAACAAAAGATGTGGTCACATGCAAGTAGCTACTGTGTCATGTACTGGTCTGAATAGACCCCCGCACCGAGACAGAAATTCGCTCTGATTGAATCAAGGATCTCATGATCCTGTGTAAGTTCTCATGATATTCTAATGTCCATTGACAACACATTGCACACTCTCCACTGGTGTCAGCACTACGCGAAGCCAAACCTGTTGAGACGTCACAAGAGTATCCATCAGAGCTTGATTTTGAAAATCTTTCCAGCGATACTGGTGCAGTTGAGCTTGAGTCGATTGTAAAGAAAGCTAGGGTACTCTCCACTGGTGTCAGCGCTACGCAAAGCCAAACCTGTTGAGACGTCACAAGGGTATTCATCAGAGCTTGATTTTCAGCATCTTTTCAGCGATAACTGGTGACATCTGTATCAATTCAAATTAAGTTGAGCTCGAGGTCAATTGTACAGAAAGCTTGGCCACACCCGCCGAATGATATTCATTTGTGATTTGACAAGGCATCGCATGAGTGACTGCGGCCCAGATTGCGGTATCCGGCAAACCAACAATATAAAGAATTCTGTATTAAATTTCATTCACGCCTATAAAGAATCTGAATTTTCTCCACCAGACCTGCCACATGAATAATAGAGTCTGACTCGAATCATAGAGTTTCATGAGCGACCCGGTTCTGCGCGACTTTATGTACTCCAGCACTTCCCTTCCCCGATTTTAGAAGTATCAGCAAAGTCAGAATCCCGCGTAACATCTCGTGCTATCAGCTCTCCGCGTGAGTTCCACGCCAGGCAGACGCGGTCACGTGAAATCAGCCGTGCATGAATCCAAGCCCAATCTCCTCCTGTGATCTAGCCAAGATAATTCGAATAGGAATTTGGATCCCTTCTCACTCCAAGTGGATGCTATGCGATGCCAGCCATCTGCTCTTGTCTTCGATCGCCTGAGGATAAGGCTTTCCCCAGATGACATGCCACGGACAGATCGCCCTGTCTCCAGTCCATGCTACCAAGTCGTGTGTCCTGTCATCGCCTTATCTCACATCCGCCCTGCCTAAATCCCATAAAAAGATGCGCGGCGACCCACTCGGTGCCACCACCAAGATGCACTTCAGGTGTGCGTGGACAAGAGACCTGCATAGCCTCAGGTGACGAGAGTGTCAGTCCAGCTGCTCTTCCTCGAGAGGCTACTGTGTATCTCGCTATTTTCTGACGCGTGTATACATCTACCTCCAGTTCTGCTTGGTTTTCTGCCGCGCGTGCTGTGCACGGAGTCCCGACGCCTTCGAGTGCCAGCCCAAGACGCAGTGTGTGGACGATTGTCGTAAGCCATGTCCGACTCTGACTGGGCACATGCTGACCTTAACGACTCATAGAAGGACTGTAGCGTCCTAGTATCTAACAAGTATCATGTGATTGAGCATACCGAAATAAACACGCAGAAACGGTTCGAGAGCATGTCTGAGATCTTCAGCTATCGTCACTCTTCAACGCCACCCGAATCCATCTCCGGCAGTCCAGCAATCGTTCCTGTGTGAGATCATCAGCCACATTCCGCCCCCAAAGAAGACTCGCCACAGCGACGCACATCCGAAACCTGCACCACAGCCTGCAGATCCTGAATCACACCCTCCAGCCCTTGCTCCATCTCCCACGACCCCACGATCTCATCTCTCCGAGGCTCATCACCAGCCAGTCCCAGACGCTGCGCATTAGACGACAGAGAGGGGTATTCGCCTCGATGCATGGCATCGGTGATCAATGTTTCAATGAGCACCGCCACGGTGAGCAGGGATACAGGATATTTGAGGACATCAGGTTCTTAAACTCGGGTGAGGAGCCTGCCACTGATGTCAACAACATGAATGGAGGCGCACCTAAGATGAGCGAAAATAGCCGGGCCCAAGTCCCTTTCTGCGCGTATTCCCACCCCGCTTTCGGCGGGAGAAGCGCTCTCAGAGACGGCAGTGCGCGCCAAACTTCGTCCAGAATCGCCTGCGGGGTGTCGCCGAGAGAGTAATCGAATGCCGATAAAATGTCTCGGTGCGCGGTCTTGTGATGAGTGAGTAGATACACGTAATACAGTATCGTTAAGCGACGCACTTCAAGGTCGTCATACCCCATCTCATGCGGCGCGATTCGTTCGTACTCGTAAGACATCACCGGCCCCAGCGGCTCCAGCACATCTCGATGTATCTTCCATGAATGTCAGTCGCAATGCAACCCGCCGCAGAGCTCAGCCGCGCAACACACCTTGACGCTGATCGCCAAACATCCCACGCATATATCCCACACGACCAAGTTCCATCCGTCGGGCGGGATGGACGGATCCCAGGACAGCCCCTCCTCCGACGCCTCGAAGGACGCCTTCATCGCTTCCAGATCGACACGCTGCGCGCGGTCGTGCATCACGAGATGGAAATAGCGCAGGAACATATGCGCAGCGTGGAACCGCGTCTCGGGAGAGTGCGTCAACTGGTCGATGAGATCGGGTACGTCGTCGCTCGTTTCGCTGTCGCCGTCTTTCTCGTCCTTGAGTGGCTTGAGCTCGACACCAGAGGCGGTCTGGAAGGCCCGCGAGTACATCGACTTGGGTGGGATCACCTATTCCCGTGCGCACATGAGCGAAGTTTTGGGCAATTCACGCAGAATCCACGCACCTCAAGCAGCCACTCCACCACATCCCGGCGCTTCTCACATCCCACACCAAGCAGCTGTTCCCAATTTGTCTTCTTCAGCACACCAGCACAATCCAGCAGCTCCCTCTCTCGAAGCCCCTGCTCGCGAAGCACTAAACTAGCGATGCGGGCTTTGGCAGCCGTTTCCGCCGTCATCGGAAACCCTGCCACGTAGCCCACCGGCGGGGCGATGACGGGAACGCCAGCTGGGAACGCTCGGCGGAAATCCAGCGTCGGGCGTTTCGTCGGCGGCGAGTTGGGTTCGGTCGGGGCGTGCGGCAGCTCGCTTTCCTTGGAGTCGTTCAGCTGTGCGGAATGCACGGGTATGACCTTGGGAAGAAGACGCACATCATGTGTCGCGGAGGAGGTCCGCAAGGAGAGAGACTTGCGCAGACTGGCACGGATGGGGCAGAGGGACATTGTGCTAGAATCAGAGTCGCTTCGCATTGAAGAACACGAGGCTTGAGAATCGGTTTTGCGGAGCTTGCGAGCAATGGGGGTGGAGTCATCGAGGGAAGAAAAAGATCTCTTGAAGGCTGGAGGAGAGCTTGAAGATCTGGGAGAAGAGTTGCCAATCAAGCGAAAGAAAGCAGAAACAAGTCTTACTCAGAGCTAAGCATACATCCATCGTCCATATCGGCAGCATACCCTGCAGAGGAGGCAGCAGAAGAGAGAGATTCAGACCGGGAGACGCGTGCCGTAGCAGAAGAGGAACAAAAAGAGCCTGTCGTCGCAGAAGACCAAGAATACATCCGCCGAGCGAGGACGCCACGCTTGATGTTACTGGGGACAGTTCCGCGCGGATACTCCGGTGTCGTCGCGACGCTGCTTGCAGAATCCAGAGTCGCTGAGATATCTTTCTCCACCTCAACAGCCATCTTGCGCTCACGGATAGCGACATCCAGGAGGTCGTCCAATCGCGACAGAAACTCGGCTGATTCGAGCACTTCGCTCACGCCTGTCATGACCGGAGGTGCGTTGACAATTGGCCGGACTATCTCATCTGAGCTGCTGCAGTCGGGGATGGACGTCGGTGGAGATGAAGAGGGTAAGAGGGCGTCGGAGAAGCGAGGGGAGCTGCTCGTCGGAGGCTGTTGTATCGGTTCTTCGTCCAGATCAGTTTCGGCGATGCGTTCCAAGGATTTGGAGTTAGAGCTGGATACACGGGGCGCCACAGGATACAAATGAGGAGGAGAAGCAATTGGGTATGTAGAGTCTTGATGGGGGACAGGCCTAGGGAGTGACTTGGACAGGGACTGCGGAGAGCTAATTGATGAGCGCATATATCTTTCATCGGTGAGTGCAGGTGAGAGGAGGGTATTATTAGTTGATTCTTTGAGGTTTGGAAGGCGTCTCAAAGGGAATGGAGACTTGCTGCCGTCGGAGTCGTTCTTGCTGTTCTCATTTCCCAAGGAATGGTTTGCTTTGTAATGGAGAAGGCCGGGGCGAGAAAAGGTGTGGGAAACAGAGGTCTGAGAAGATCTATACGTCCGACGGTGAACGACAGGAGTGGAGGGAAGGTCCATGCCAGGTTGTACGGTCAGTCGGTTCCCGGTGGCAGCGTCCACGAGCGGTCAAGCCGAAAGAAGAGACGCGATAACGTGACCTCGAAGATGACGTCGCGTAGGCGATATTTAGTAATCCTTCCAAGCATTGATTTTTATCGAATCGGAGGAACGATCACAGAGATCCTAGCTTGTCGAAACACTCATCTCATCCGACCGCCGATGGGGTGATAGGAGAAGTTATGCAGGTAACTCGGCTGATGCTCCTCTGAGGGCGAATCAGGATTGCCCAAATGAGAACGGAAAGGGACTTATAAGAACCCGGGTGGTAGCCGTTGGACCTAACATCAAGATGAGTTCTCTAATTGCCATCTTTACATTGATAATGGGGCTGTTGCAAAACGTCTCTGCTCGCCCCCTAGCAGCAATGGTAGGAGCGTCTGCATCTATGTATAAGATTTCCAAGTCTAGCATCTGATTCGGCGGTTCAAGGCCGTGGACAGTGCCAACTCTGGCTGGACTGTGGACGGAAACAACTACGGTGCGCGTACTTATTTATAATCCTCAGCCGTAAACATGCCTCCGACTGAACGACGAGACCAGGTTGGCATGTTGATGGAAACAATTATGGTTGGATAATACGTGGCGGATCGCTCCAGCAGAGTTGAGAGTGGTTGAAGGTAACAGATTCCGCTTGAGATATCATAAGGTGACGTATGCGACATCGATTCTAACATCCATGCCGTTGAGATGGGGTGATAGGAAGTGCAACGATGATCTCTGTGATAGCTCTTCATGCGATCAATGCCACTAATTATTTAAGAATGACTGGAGAGCGACAGCCCTCCTGACTAAGAATGCGATTGTCCGCTGGAATCTTCGTATTGGCTGCGCTGTGCCATGCACATGCTCGCCCAGTCGTGGTAAGTGCCCAAGTGCTCTTCTGAGATGGATGTTCTTTCGAGTACTAACGCATGACTGCTGGATCTTTACAGCCTAGATTGTATCTGTGTCCTCGAGTAGGTCCATAACGCAATCATTGCAGACGCCATGATCTCATTTTCATCAGCTTGATGCGACGGCAGATTTGGATTCAAGAGTCGTGGTACGATCCGCCTAGCTTTGATTGCCCCTTGGCATGGGAAGCAGCTCATCCGAGTCTAGGCAGTGGACAGCGTCAACTCAGGATGGAGTGTCGACGGAAACAACTACGGTGTGTCCTGTTTCCATGATTCAGCACTTTCTCACCGACGGTGAACATGATGGAATTCAGGTTGGAGCGTCGACGGGAACAACTATGGATGGTCGATCAACGGCGGAGGGATTCCCGTCGGCGGATGCTACGGCGCCCCTCCTAAGCGCTCAGCTTCATGATACTTGAGATCCTGCAACGCAGTAATAATATTTTTTTTGACTAAACGGCACATGCGACAATAAAAGAAGTCATATTCGAATCAGTACGTAGTGATACACAGAATGGGAGACACAACAAGATGCAAAGACAGTTCGCAAGACCAATGAATCAAGGGTTCTTAGCATCGGCGCCAAAGGGGAATTGCATGATCGCAGGACCAGCGAGGGTGGTGTCGTCGCTGACAGCAGACCCGTTCGAGCTGACTACGGCATACACGGTGCCCTGCAGATTACTGGGGAGCTTCGCGGTCTTGTTGACGATCGGAGCGAAGAGTGTGTTGACACCGGTGAACAGCGCCAGGAATGCATCGCCCGTCTGGTTCGTCTGGTAATCGAGCGTCACGGCGCCATTTTTAGGGCCGGTGAACTTGAGCGTGGGGAAGGCCATGAGCGGGAGCGCGGGGTTTGATGACGGGCAGCTCGTGATGAACGGCACCGCCAGCGAGAACACCTGGCGCAGGTCGAGCGGCGTCTCGTACGCCCCACTCCACGGCTCCTGCTTCAGCACCGCCGAGTGCAGCCACGCCGCATGGCGGGCTTCCGTGGCGAGGATGGACCCCGCCTCCGTCAGCGTCGTGTCTGTGAGGAAGTGCGCGGCACCGAGGTATGCGCTCGTGCCAACGCCCTCGAGAATGCCGGCAAGAGCCGCGAACGAGGCTGGATCGGTATGGGGGCTGCGAAAATAAATGGATCAGAACCGTTCGAGAGTAGGTCCATTGTCCGTCCAACTCACAAGCTGTAGTTGCATGCCGCAACGGACTCGTTACCGAGCGCCTTGGTCAAGAAATCGACATGGCCCGCCTCGTGTTGTGAAATCTGCGCAAAGCGGCCACGGACCCAGGACGGGAATCCAGCCTTGGTGAAGGCGGCGTTGTCGTACTTTGCAAGACCACTGGCGTAGAAGGTAGCCTCGAGGTGCTCCAGCGTGAGCGCGTACTGGAGAATCTCCGTAGCGTTGGCCATCTCCGCTGCCCGGGGGAGCAGCGGGACAGCCGCAGAGACAGCGAAGAATGAGGCGAGGACAGCGAGGAAGTACTGCATGATGGTACTGGAGAAATATTCACATTCGACAAAGTCCCTTTAAAGAGCACAGCGGCCGAGCGGGAGATCGAGCATCTGACCAGTAATCCGAAGAATGACGCGAAGAAGGATGGAGGTTTAATTAACGCGTCGGTCAGCTCGGTCGAAATACGCTCGAATGACGCAGGCGATCAACTCAGTCCGAGATGCCCGATCTGGAGACATTCAAATGCGAGGGGTGAGGATCCGATCCTCCTCGGCTGCACAGCTTTCTCGTGCCGCCCCACATCGCCCCACATTCAGCCTGTCTTCATTTTACTGCGCAGGGCCTCAATGGACTGCGCACGCCGCGTTGTCCAAGCATAGACCCAAGAGCACAGGGGAGAGCATCAGCAGACTTGTAGCACCGGTCCCAGAATCCAGAAAAAAGACAAAGATTACTTAGATCTGTTTTGCTCCCACGGAAGCGGGATCCAAGTAAAGCGTGGAGTGCTCTGACACGCAACAGTCTTTAGATGGAACGTGCGAGGCCTGGATCCGGAGGTAAAACGATCAACAAGCAGGCACCGGTCACGGGTGCCAGTATGCAGGACATTCACAGGAGTATATTGCGAGACATACATGCACAAAGGAGCAACCTCGCACTTAGTATCTATACCGCGTCGAGTAATCTGTCCACATCAGCCTGCGTCCGACGACCAGATGAAGGATGGAATGACACACACCTTTGGGCGAGACGACCAACCCACGACCCTTCGACGCGCCGCGATACACCGTCTCGATTATGTCAATTAACTGCCAAAAACGACGTGAGAGAACCGACTTATCATGCTGAGCGGGCAGTACCTCCTGTTTATTATCCATAGCCCAGTTGCTAGAGCCCGACATCAGGATCGACGCACGAGCGAGCACAGGGGACCCACATCTTGTTGTTGTTACCCGTGCCCAGATCGATCATGATGTGCTTGTTCCTGCGCATCCATCCCTGATTCAGCGTTCGCACACATTGTGCAGCAAGTGAAAACGGACCGATAGAAGAACATCACCGTGCAGGGATCGTACAACTCGTACATCTACCGCCCCTCGTCAGCGCCCACTGCACCTCACCGCACGAGACCCTCCACCACGAAACGCACCTTGTTGAAGTCCGGCACCTCCGTGATATCGCAGAGATAGATGACCGCAAAGTTCTGCACCTTCTCCGAGACGGCGTAGAGCGTCTCGTCCATCGTCATGCACTGCGAGTCCCAGTCATGTCCGAAGCGGATCACCACCACACGGTCCTCCTCGGATTTGATCGCTTCGTCGACGTGCCAGCCCGACGGCAGATGGGGGAGGAAATAGGACATGCGGGATGGTGGTGTTGGTGGTGGTGGTGGAGGACGACAAGTGCTGCCGTATAGTAGGGTTATGGTTATGTAAGTGTCTCTGATACTATTGCATGGTAGGGACGACGAGGCTCTATTGTTATTAAACAGGGCTGTAAGGACTACAAATAAGCGGAGCATACATACAGGGACGCAACTACGTGAGCCGAAAACCAGAATCCGAAAGTCCAAAAGAAAATCACAAGCACCCCTACGATCATCGATGCTCTAACTTGATCCTATCATCATCATCCACGGCAGTGACCGTCTCCTCCGTCGAGACGCGCGAGTTCCTCTGGCTCTGCGAAGCCTCCGAACCATCTCCCTCGGTGATATCAGAAAGGTGGGTGCGCACATGGTCGATCTGGGACGTCGTCTCCAGCGCAAAGTCCTCCTCCTTGTCTAGCGGGGGCGGCATGCCAGCCGGCTCTCCCTCCTCCGAGCCAGACGAGGGCGCCGGCACAGCTTGCAGCGTGCTCGTCGACGCGTTCGAATGCGTCATCGACCCGGCGTCTTCGTCGTCATCATCAGCAGTGTCCCCCCGAGGCCGACTGCGCAGCGGGGACTGGACCACGCGCACGCCCAGGGCGGAGCCCGCCTCGGACACGACGGTGCCGCTGGTGCGCCGCAGACTGCGCTTCGCCGAGTCGGCGCTTGGGCGCGGGGACGCGGACAGCGTGACGCTCGGGCGGGGGCTCGAGCGCGGCGTCGCGCCGGCCGAGACGGACGTGTCTAGGGTGGTGTTGGCGGGGCCCAGGGTGGACGACCGGAACGTGCTCGCGATCCTCGAGATGCGTCCGTGCAGTCCTCCGTCGCGTTTCGCCTGCAGCGGCGGCTGTGGGTGGGTCGCGTCAGCACGGGCGCGGTGGCCGCGGAAAGCACGCACGAGGGGACTCCCGCTGCCGTCGTGGCCCAGGAACGGGTTGTCGTCATAGTCCGCGACAGATCCCGTCATCGTGATCTGCTGCCACTCTTCGTCGGAGATGGATGGCCGCGAGGGAAGCTCCGCAGTCTGCGAGGGCTCCTTGCGCGAGAACAAAGAGATCTTCCGCGCCCTGCGCTCGCCCGAAGCCGTGCTCGCACTCAGCTTGATGGGCTCTGGAAGCGGCACGGAGGACCCTTCTTCGCGTAGGTTCGGCGAAGATTTCGACTTCTTCGCGGATTTGTGCTTCGGTGCTGATGGTTTCCCCTTATCTTTATCTTTCTCCTTCACATCCTTCCTGGTGCCCGACTTCGACCGCGACCGGATTCCTTTCAGGAAACGCGACGTGCGGGATTGCCGGGGTGGGTCGCTCGCCGCAGCCGACGCCATCTCGTCGTTGTCGTCGTCGTCGAACACCTCGGTCAGCTTGACCCGCCTCCTCGGCCGCGACGCCTTCTCATCCCGCACCTCTGGAAAGATCCACTCCACGATGCCGCTGTCGTCGTCGAAAGCGCCCAGCTGCTCGAATACGTCCAAAACGGACGCGCGGAGCGGCTCGTAGTCGCAGTTGCGCGGTGGGCGCTGGGTCATGGCCATGGCTGTAGGAGGGGAAGACAACGAGCAAAAATGTTCCCTCGTCCGGTTATGTATCGATGGGCTCTGCTGTGAAATCTCCCCAGTCCCCTAGGTTACGCGCAGATGACGTCGTCTCCACGAACAACCCGGGTATAGAGATGATGGCGGCCGGCTAGACGACGCAGGAGGGAGAAACAAGATATTAGTCAGGGCCGGATATGCTGCAGTGTAACGCTGGCGAAAACCGGGGCGTGAAAGCATGTCCGCGGCGCGCGAATAGCGGCAAGTCTATTGCTTATCCTGTGCTAAGTTGGCATATTCCCAAACTCGACGCCTCGTGGCCAAATTGAGTAATCCTTCTGATCGAATTCACGACAGGTGGCTGTGCGTTCAAAGGCAGATAGGGGCTGTTGGCGGGTGGCTCGAAGGACAACCAGCCGGTGTTCGTTGTTCGCTTCAACACGGACTGATTTATTTTCTCGTGCCTCAGTCTGCGATGAATGAGATGACGAAGATTTTGGCATTCTGATCGGCTCCACACGTTCGATGCAGTCCATGATGCCAGCAAGGCATCGAGTCGTATTGTGCGAACGGAGAATCTCTCCCCGTTTGACATTGTGATCTCATGCATTGATTATACCAGTCATTCGGAAAGTTTCAATGATGTATTCCCTCAGTATCTATTTGCGGCCGATAGACCAGCCGTTGTTGTTCCCTTCCACGACCCAGCCTATTTTTATTCCAAGACACCTGAGTGAATGGGCGCGGAGGTTCAAAACAAGAAAACCGACCGTCGTTGTTCCCCTCGATAGACCATCCGCTGTTGTATCCATCGACCTTTGAGGAGAAGACGGTGAGAAGTGCAGCACGAATAATGAATGAGTCATCATCCGCGTACAGCAAGTAGCCGGGCTTCGATCTGCCGGACGACGTGAGTAATTGAAAGAGAGTCGACCGGTCGGCCGGTCAATGCTCACCGGTTCTCTCTTCGTGGAGGCTAAGGTATGCCGCATTAGGATCCAGGGACCCTTTGTAAGCGTCACACTGTGACAAACAGCGACGGAAGATGACGACGGCCACGGAGGGAATATAGCTAAAGTACTCACATGGGGTGTTTCTGGAGGCCTTTAGCACACCTGCTATGTGAGTAGAATTTTTTATTTTGCCTCCTGGAGAGCGTGATGTGAGGTTCAAGAATTCTGCATCAAAAGTTTTCTTTTATTGTAGAAAGTGATTTCCAACTGAACTGAGCATCTTTAAATTTTGGGTCGGAAGATTTGACCATTCACGTGACGTCCCAATTAGGAAGTGGTGGTGCTGCCGGCGTTGAGATCCCCTTCTATAGTCATAGTAGCCTTAAAGAAATTCAATTATCCTTCGGACACCCATTTTGGATCACATTGGGTGCATACATGTCCATAATGACACCGAAAAGAAGGGCTACGTTTTTCGGACTGTGAATTTGAACGTCACGTGACTGTCACGCACTGCTTACTAAGGGTCCCTGGATCCTCATGCGGCATACCTTATGTTCTCCGTGTTCTGGCGCGGCTGCAATTTGGGAGGGTTATCGTGCATAGCGCGGGCTGCGGGTCAAGTACTTACCACTGCGGCAGCGAGTCCGAGTGCGACTGGGGCTGCCAGAGCGAGGAGACGTGTGAACTGCATTTGAGACGGGGGTGTTCAGGAAATTGAGCGCAGTACCTGGAGAGAGTGGACCAGGACGCGGATTAAGTACGCATAGAACAGCGGTACCCTCGTACTCAAGAAATTTAGTGCGGTCGGCGACAGCTTGGCGAATCAGTCAATCTCGGATGATTCATATCTCTCTGCGGATGCGTTACAGCAAGATTCTGGGTGATAGCCTCAGAGACGTGAAAGGAAGTTCACCACTCGCGAGAAATTTCCAGGGGAATGAGGCCCGAGCCATGTTACTAGCAGCCGCCACCTCCGCCGCCACCTCCCCCATCACCCCCGCCATCACCTCCGCCGTCGCCGCCTCCAAACCCTCCGCCGTCGCCGCCACCTCCGCCTCCGTCTCCGCCGCCAGACACGACGACTCCTCCGCCGTTGATTGTCCAGCCGTAGTTGTCCCCGTCAACGCTCCAACCTACGGTCATAAGTGACTGCGACTCGGTGCCGGTGCCGAACGGCGCGCTTACCGTTGTTGTCCCCATCAACCGTCCATCCTTGGTTCACGCTGTCCACGGAGACGTCCTGGTGAACAGGTCAAGCCAAGCCAAGGCCAGATGGGAGTTCTCAATCGAGTACATACCCGGCGCTTGCGCTCGCACGAGATCTCCTCCTCGTCCGCCATCGGCTGCGTTTTGTTTGAAATGATCAGATGGGAGAAAGAGATGCGTGATATGTGGCAGGGCTTACTGCCGGGACAGGACGCGCAACCGCGCCTGTAGCCGCAGACGTCAGTGCGACGAGTAGTACGAAGATGGGATATCGCATTGAGCGAGATGCAGCTTCGTGCGGGGACTTTAAAGCGTTTTGGACGAGGAAAAGCGGGGTTGTGCTTACGAGTGCCTATCACTGCATCGCGGAGGGTGAGTTGGGCTATCACCCCATCCTATCCGAAATCCAATACGCTATACGCGGCCAGCCAATTACTTAGTTGCGCGTCCAACAATCAGTCACGTCAGAGTCAGAGGGCGGCAGATAGCGCCCTTGGGCTTAAAGATCGGAGCTGCTTACGTAGAGCCACAACACAGTTCAGGAACGGGAAGATGTTAATACTCCAAGACGGGTAAGCAAAAAATGCTGTCTGTCATGGTAGGCGGCAGTGCAGTCCCCACATGACTCGAAGTGGCAGCGTGCAGCTTGAGGCAGAAAGCCTTCTAGTGAGGTATAAAGGGGCCTAGAAGTCAGTGTTCCTATTGTTCAGTACTCTTGAGCTAAGCAAGCTCGAGGAAGTTCGGAATAAGCCCTCGTTTGACAGCACCCAAGTGACGTGACTAGACCGTGATCGGTCCGATCACCTGTCAACCCGTCTTTGACCCGAACGACCATGTCCAAAAAGCCGCCCACCGATCTCAAGAGCGTCCTCCAGAACGAAATCAAGTTCAGCTCCATCCCATCCTCTGCCGTTCATCCGCACCAACTCACCACACCACTCGCACAGAGAGTGGCATTTCCGTGAGCCCGCCCTCCCCCGATCGATGGGCTTCCTGCGTCGAATCTGAACACACCACCCACATCGGGGCTGCTAGATATCTACTTCCATCAGGGCAACGCGGAGGAACAGCACTACGCTCTCGAGCTCCGTGATGCTGTGCTGCGGCTGCGCCGGGACGGGGCCTTCATCGCCGTGCCGCTCTTCCGCGTTAACACCGATCCTATCGGCCCGCACCCCGCCGGTAAGCACGATGTCCAACTCGAACGCGTTGAGAATCTCAACCCTGCCGGATCTTGTTCTTTTTTCTTTTGTCTATTTTGTCTTTTTGGCACGGATAGGCTCGTATGAGGTCTGGGCGCCCTCCGAGACGTTCGCGTCGCTGTTCTCGTACTTGGCGCTCCACCGCGGACCGCTGAGGTGAGCACTCTGCACCCCGGTGCACGAGGTATTAGTATCTGACTGAACGCGCGACGCCAGCATCCTCGTCCACCCGCTGACCCGTGAAGAGGTAAGCGTCTATCCCGCGTTGGAGTCCCGCTCACAGTTCTCTCCTGGCAGCTCGCGTAAGATTTCGCCAGCGCATGCTACCGATGTCGCCATTGATCCACCTTCTGTTCTGACTGATGACTGCAGAGACCATCAAATCCGAAGCGCGTGGATCGGGCCCTCTTGGCCGCTTGATCTGAGCAAGCTCCCCGTGCGGAGCGAGACGATTCCGCTGCAATACCCCAGCTTGAGTGCGTCTTGCCTTATGTGGCCCCTGCTCCACCTCCACGACCACCGCGCTGATGCGATGGTTCATTTGCACAGAGGTCGGCTACTCGTCAAACGTCCCGTTCATGAACCTGGAGGATCGCGCGATTCTGGGGGCAAACGTGGAGAAGATGCTGCTCAAGGAGAAGGACGCGGCGCGCGCGCCGGTCCCTTGAGCGTACCAGCTACTACCATCTACTCGGGGTTGACTCGAGGGCGTGGGTTTTCCGTGTTGCGAGGCTACCGCCTTCGAAATGATAACGTTTTTACGGCGTGCTCACCCGATCCGCCAGTGAAATTGAGGCTGCTCCCATCACCCAGTGAACTCAACATTTGTCACGTGATGAACGACTTTTTACTTACGTCGAGGTGAAGGCTCACGACGTGAGGCTACTTATGAGATCGACGAGACGGGTGATAATATGTTCAATTGCGCCGAACGAGGATGGCTGAACATTGAGCCAGATGCTGGATTTCGCGATGAGTTCCAGGTAGGCAATTTATCGAGGTTTCTGGGCTCCCGGTCCGGTCCATGTTACTCATACGGTCCTGAGACACTGAAATTGCTGGGAAATTAAGCAGAAGACTCGGTCGCTCTCTTTGCGACCATGGTAAACTCTGGAGAGTTTTGAATCAGCTTCACGTTGGAATCGTACGTAATGTGAAGCTCTTGGAGACCCTGCTCGGGCGAGTCTGCATCTGGGTCTAGAGCACGTCGCCGTGCTCCGACCCGCTCCGATATGCCCTGACTCCAGACGAATTGAAATCGAGAACACCCACCTATCAACGGGTGAACGAGTGATTTTCGAGCCCCACCTGCACGTTCTACAGCTGAATGGGAGTTGGGTCCGAAGAGACGATTCTAGAAATCACACTGGTATCCGAAACTTGCCCTAATCAGCAGTGTTGGGCGAATATTCTCGGGGGACTTGGTCAGCAGAGGTCCCGTCTTCGCTGCAATCTCCACCAAATGAGAAATACCGACCCGCAATACACGTTTAGGGTCTGTTGCAGATGCGGGATCGAGAGCATATATTCAATCGATAGGGCCGACTTCGTTCAACATGAGATGAACGATCTTTGCTTCTCGAGCGGTGAACCTACAGATTCGATACCGGAATTGGGTGCAATATTGCCGGCTCGCGACCATACCTGCTCTCCGCGTCTAGCTACAGCCCCCTCATGTGATCAGGAGCCTGGGCGTCTGCGGGGTGTCGATTTAAACAGCATCAATACTGCCAGTCTGCCATCACGATGGCCCGAGATGGCCGAGCCCACCTGCTGACAGCAGCAATCAGACTAAGCAATGGCAACTGTCTCGTCCTCACGACATGTCACGGGTGACTGACTGCTGGGCGTGACGTCGCGGATGAAGATACGTTTTTGACGCGACATTGGCGCGTTAGCTCGTAATTTTCTCGTCTATCTCTCTGAGCGCATTATGAATTGTCGAGTCCTGTCGAAGTACAATTTGAAGGTCATGGGCACATATGATCGCGGGCTTCCACTGTCGAACAAGGAATTCCACTGATCGTATCAACAACAACCACATGCCAGCGAATTTCGGCAGGTGTGATGATCCGGTCAGGATCGTCTTCAATCTGGCCGCTGACAGGCTTAAGCCTGTACTGCACGGACAGAACCCTTCGTCGTCTCCGCCGCGCGTCCAAAGTGCTACAACAGATTCGAGGGCTTCCGCAACACACACGAGCACAAAGTGCAGGCTGCGGCCCACATGTCGACGTCGCCTTCTTTGTCACGCGATGTACGAGAACTCGCGGCGTCCCCATCTATAAGAATCACCCGGCGGCGCATCGAGGCCCCACCCCAGCAGCTCTTCCCGGGCTCCTCTGGACGCGTATATCTCCTCGATGTCTTTCTCCAGCGCGTTGACCGTCCTCGCTGCGATTGCTGCTGTGGCTGCTGCCAAGGGACCTATGGTGTTGCATGAGAGCAGAACGACTACGCCCGTCGGATTCGTCAGCCATGGACCTGCGCCTGCTACTGACCAGCTGGAACTGCGCTTTGCATTGGCCCAGAACAACCCTGCTGGTCTTCAGAACAAGCTCATGGAGGTCTCGACGCCCGGAAACGACAACTACCGGCAGTGGCTGTCGATGGAAGACGTTCGTTTCTCGCGTCGTTATTCCAGATCACAGAAGCGTTAACTTGCTTGCTTCAGGTCAAGTCCTACATGGCGCCATCCGCAGACACCGTTGCTGCATTCAATACCTTTGCCGCAGCGCAGGGACTGCAGATTACAGGGAGCTCCCCCAACGGCGATTGGGTGACCGCGACGCTCCCCGTCTCGCAAGCCAACGAGCTCTTCGACGCCAACTTCGAGGTCTTCTCGCACCCCGAGCTCGCCGACACGATCACGCGCACGATGTCCGTGTCGCTCCCGCACGAGATCGTCGGCGTGGTGGACGTCATCCACCCCTCGACCGCGTTCGTCGAGCCGCAGCCGAGGCTCGCGCCGTCGGTGATCCAGCTGGACCTTCCGGTCCAGGCGAAGCGCGCGATCCCGGCGTCGTGCAATACCCGTGTTGCGAGCGGGGTGATGACGCCCGCGTGCCTGCAAGCGCTGTACGGCATCCCGACGGCTCCCGCCACGCAGAAGAACAACTCGATACTCATCACGGGGTACATCGATCAGTGGGCGCAGACGGCGGATTTGCAGGTGGGTGACAGTCATAGATAGTCCTTGTCCGCGGCAGGTGCAGTAACACTCTTCGCAGTCGTTCTTGAAGACCCTGCGCAAGGACATGTCTTCTTCGACGTCATTCGCCGTTCAGACCGTTGACGGAGGCGCTAATATCCAGAGTTCCGCGGATGCTGGTATCGAGGCTGACTTGGACGTCGAGTACACTATCGGTGCGTGTCAAGTTACGCTTCTATCCTTGTATTCATCTTGGGCTAGGTATCGCGACCGGCGTCCCTGCCACTTTCCTGTCTGTTGGCAATTCCGTGGAATTCCCCACTGCTTTGATCGACACCACGACATTCCTGGATGGTGTCAAGAACCCTCCATCGGTCATGACCACGTCGTACGGATCCACTGAAACCTCGTTCGGCGGCTCGTTGGCAACGTGAGTCGAGTCATGGCGGTCGATGCAACCTGACTGAAGAGCCACCAACCAGACGAATCTGCAACGGCTACATGGCACTGAGCAGTCGGGGCATCTCCGTCGTCTTCGCGTCCGGAGACGTGAGTGCCCATTCCGAGTGCTCTCCCCAATTCTAACTGTCGCAGGGCGGTGTGCGCGGCAACCACGACACGACCGACATCTGCAGCAACAACCGCTTCATGCCCGTCTTCCCCGCGGCGTGCCCGTTCGTGACGTCCGTCGGGTCGACGCAGGGCATCCCCGAGAAGGCCGTCAACTTCACCGGCGGCGGGTTCTCCAGCGTCTTCCCTGCGCCGACGTACCAGACCACCCAGGTCTCCTCCTTCCTGAAAACACTCCCGTCCAACTTCAGAGGCAACTTCACGCGCAGTGGGCGTGGGTACCCCGACGTCGCGGTCCAGGGCTGGAACTTCGAGGTCGTCATCGGGGGCCAGACGGGCCTGATCGGCGGGACCAGCGCGTCGGCGCCGACGTTCGCTGCGATGATCGCGCTCGTCAACGACCGGCTCGTCGCGGCAGGCAAGCCGGTGCTCGGCTTCCTGAACCCGTTCCTGTACAAGAACCCCGCCGCGTTCACGGATATCACGACCGGCCACAACTCGGGCTTGGTCTGTCCCGCGAGTTCGGTGGCGTTCGATGCTGCGACCGGCTGGGACGCGCTGAGTGAGTTTCCCGTGCTGCTGCTGCATCCCTGCGTTTCTCAGTATGACTGATAATGTGCTTACAGCTGGGCTGGGAACGCCCATTTTCTCCAACCTCCTCGCCGCCGCGATGGCTGCCCACTGAGAGACAGATGTACCACGATTTCATTGTACATAGATACCAGATTAATGCTTGCGGAATGAGAACAAGGCTTTTGCGTTCATTGTTGGGTTTCAAGTTGGAGCTTTGTTGCCTGCAGAGAAGCCCTCGTCTGACCTGCTCACTAGCACCGCCAACTCACATAGTCACTGTCCATGAGTCGTTTCTGCAAACACATTTGTCTGAACCCTCTGCTGGTCTGCGCAAATCCGAAAGACGTAAGGATCCAGCGCTGTTGAGAATCGGCCCTGGGATACAGCCGATTTCGCATGTCGAACGGAGAAAAAAAGGAGCGCTGCGATGCGCGGTAGCTGAACAGCACACAATGCGTGGATTTCACATCCCATCCACGCGGAACACTCTTGGCGAAAGTCCGAGGGTGGAGAGCAGTAAGCTAGCGTTGACAAGGACATACAGTAGGTCCAGACTCAACACCAGAAATGGGTAATCCAGCCAGTGAACACTTCATTAAAATTAAGCTTGTATGAGTAAAGATCGATCAAGTCAGTTACACCTTCGTAGCTCAACCCTGGACGGCTATTCCTCAAGCCATCGCCGCGGCAAGGAGGCTCGTAAAGTTGGGGGTCCCCAATCCCGCTGAGAAAGAAAAGAAACGGAACACATCAGCAGCCGCACAGACGAAACAGCAGCAACCGCAGCTCACTGAGGGGATCCCAGCCGGTCGTAGCGTCGAAACCGACGCCAGATTCAGGGCACACGGCGCCCGAGTTATGTCCCGCGGTGACATCGTTGAACGCGCCCGGATTGGCGTACAGGAACGGGTTCAAGAAGCCAAGCACGGGTTTGCCCGCAGCGATGAGCCGGTCGTTGATCAGTGCGATGATAGATGCGAATGTCGGTGCCGACGCGCTCGTGCCGCTCTCTAGAGTGGTGATGCCGTTGTTGATGATCTGGAAGTTCCAGCCTTGGGTGGAGACGTCGGGGAACCCACGCCCGGTGAGGTTGAACATGGCGTTGAAGTCAGACGGGACGGTCTTAAGGAAGGAAGCAATCTGGGCGGTCTGGTACGCCGGCGCCGGGAAGATGTTGGAGAACCCGCCGCTCGAGAAGTTGGCGGCTCTCTCCGGGATGCCGAATGTCGAACCGACGGCAGTCAGGAATGGACAGGTCGAGGGAAACGCCGGGGTCAGTGCCTCATTGTCGCAGACACTCGAATCGTCGTGACCACCATGCACTCCGCCCTGAGAGGGTACTGTAAGCGCCAGAGCACTGAACACGAAAGACGAATAACAACTCACGTCTCCCGCGGCAAAAATGACGGAGACGCCCCGGGCGGCCAGTGCCATGTAGGCATCGCAGATAGCGCTGGAAGCAGATATCCATGAGGACTCGCCATCATGAGTATACAGAAATGGACGCACTTGGCAACCGCAGGATCGACGGTCGGTTCGTCCAAGGTGTACGAAGTGGTCATGACCGACGGGGGATTGCTGACGCCTTGCAGGTAGGTCGCCGTGTGGATGAAAGCGCCGAAGATGTCCGTGTCGTTGCCATTCGAGAGGAAAATCGTGGGCACGCCAGTCGCTACACCTGGATCCGAGTCAGAACACGGCAAAGGCCGTAGTCAGAATGCAAGTGACGGACCGACGGTGTATTGGATGTCCAAGCTCGCCTCGAAGCCAGCCAAGTCAGGCCCCTGCGGGTTGTCTCCGCCATCGACCGACTCAGGCTGAACCCCGTCGATGAATGCATGTCCGGACGGAGTTGTTCCAAGAACGCCTGGAGCAGTCCGTCAGGCTCGGAAAGTCCCCCCGTGCGGTCCACTCACCTGCAAATCGGCTTTCTGCGCATGCTGGGTGACATACCCCGTCACCAGTAGCGAGTTGTTGGCTTGAGTGGCCGGGGTAGCCGGGATGCCGTGCACTGCCTGCAAGCATGCGGGGGTCGTCACTCCATTCGGTTCGCTGGTGTTGCACGATGCAGCGATGCCGCGCTTGAGCTTGGGCACCGGGATCTGGATCAGCGACGGCGCGTTTTTGAACGGGGGCGGCGCGAAGGCCGTCGAGGGATGGACCACGTTCACGACGCCCACCATCTCGCTTGGGAGAGAAACGGACATCGTGCGCGCGATCTTGCCATCTAGGTCGGGGTGCGAGAACAGCTCGAAGTTGGCATCGAACATCTCGTTGGCCTTGGCCACAGGGACCGTGGCGGTGATCCACTCTCCGTAAGGTGAAACCTTGGTCGTGTTCAACCCATGGGCGGACGCGAAGGAGTTGAAAGCCGACAAGGTCGCCGACGAAGGCGCCATATAAGTCTTGACCTGCATATGCTCAGTAAACCCAGCACCCAGCACCAAAATACACAGAACAGAACGAACCTCCTCCTTCGAGAGCCACTGACGGAAGTTGGCGCTTCCAGGTGTCGAGACCTCCATCAGCTTGGCCTGCAGCCCCTTGACGTCGTTGCCCGCAAGACCGAATCGCAGTTCCAGCTCGTGGGTCGCTGGAGCCGGACCGTGGCTGACGAAACCAGCAGGAACAGTGGCCAGGCTATCGTGCAGCACCATGGCACTTTTAGCCGCCGCAACGGCAGCGACAGTGAGAACGGTCAAAGTTTTGCTGAAAGCCATCGAGAAAGTGCGCGCGCAGAGAGAAAGACAGAGAGAATGCGCGTGTAATAAGAGGGAGAATGCGCCGTGAAGAAAGAAATGCGAAAAGTGGGCTTGGGTAAAGAGAGAGAGGTACTCAAAAGAGCTGGCCTCGACTCGATGTAGGTGACTTCATCCACAGATTATCGCGTCCTTTATACTCATCCCGTGGCAGGTTTGGAGACGTCGCCTAGAGCGAGGACATGTGGTACAAAAAGATCGTGGAGAGCGTCTCCGTATTCCAGTCACACTCCGGCACAGGCGCCCGCATGAGAGAGCCCGGCGTATCGCCACAGCCTCCGTCGACATGAACTGTTACTCCTGACGTCTTCCATCAAATTCTGTAAATCCAAGATTTCCATTCGTGGTCAGGCAGTGCCGTACTTAGGGTGGTAAACACGGTGAATCCCCAGCCCCGGGGTCCGATGTCGCATGGATCTGCGTGGCTAGCGAGAGCTTCTGCAAGCTTGCACTGCCATGTAAAGGTGTGTGTGTAGCCGACCGCGACAGCTCCAATTGCTTCAACCGCTCGGTATGTTCCCGAAAAAGTCCAAGTAACGGCCGGGAAGAGTACTTAGTGGCGAGGTGGAGGAGGTCACGATCAAAGCTAGCCACGTGATCGAAATGCCAAAAAAGGCGATCATACGGACCCTCAACGAGCGAAGGGCAAATCAAGCGGAGGAAAAGCACACAACATATTTAGTATCCTCTACGTGACAGGCCTGTGTTGGCTGAGATAATTCTCAAGCATGTGACAGGAAAGACTAGAACCACTTTTCACACATGGATGATGACGGCTCCTTTGATGTGACACACTCGCTTTGACCCCTAATCGTTTAGGGGAGCGAAGTGCATCCTCCGGTTCATCTCCTTGGTGCTTTCTGGAAGTCGAGGTGACTGGAAACGGTCAATCTCTTCAACTCGGGTGGGTTCTTTTGCAAGGTGCTGCTTCACAGATGAGGGTACGGCAAATTCCGCAATCGAGATGTCAATGAGAGAGTGTCATTTCAGCGGATGGGTCATCACACATGCGTAAGTGGCCTAATTGTTCGAAAATTATTGCAACGTGAGCGACACATTGCAACAGGTCTAGGGCCTAGAATCTTTCATTTTCCGTGATATTTTATCGATTTGAACTCCCTCCCCACTTGGTCGTCAAGAGCCTGTGTGCGATCGCTTTCTCTGGCATTTTACTTGAAAGATATCTTGTTCTTCAGATCACGCCGGGATAAATCATCATTAGCTCACCCTCGCTTGTGGCCAAGGGCTTATGTGTCATTCCTAGGTAGACCCCACCCGCTCCCCTCGCTAGCTCTGGCCGGGGTCCTGACCTGTATAATATCGTAGTACACACACAGGACTACGCATTTTCGCGATCTCGCCGCTGACCACTAGATCCGATCGACCTCCAGAGGCTGTCAGCTCGCACGTGTAAAGATCTGCACATGTACGCCGGAATCCGATGGACTGACAGACGATGAGTCGATCTGAGTAAGTAGTCGAAAGACACATATTTTGCATGGATGATAGATGGTTATTATAGGGGCCAGACCGCGCTGCTCCCCGTTGCCCGCTCGGATGCGTAAATGGAATACCAGGGAGTACCCCAAGCCAAACGTCGAGCGCCCGGAACTTGTTTACGCCCGATTCCAAAATGCGACTTCCCAACGGCCTTCCAAAGCGACCGGTGGCCAGTCGATGGTCGATGATGTCCGATCAATTGAACTACATGAGCAAACGTGAGACAGACATTTCATAACTTCGCGCAAAGAGCCGGCTGTGAACCTGCGTTCTTCCCATTATCCACGTGCAGTCGCTCTGGACTCACGGGAAAGCAAAGATGTGACAGGTCGCCTGATGAGTAGGAGTTGGGGGATGACCAAGACGGTGAGGTGATTTCACACATATCTCGATCAATCAACACTACATACAGTGGAATCAAGTTCTCAGATATTGCACCAGTCGACCATGCGCTCGTAACCTCATCCTGCGCCACGCTCACTCAGGCCATCGCCGCGGCAAGGAGGCTCGTGAAATTGGGAGTTCCCAGTCCCGCTAGGAAAGGCAAACGCATTACATCAGCAACCGTACACGGGCCAGAAACATAGGCGACCGCGACTCACTGAGGGGATCCCACCCGGTTGTAGCGTCGAACCCGACACCGGATTCAGGGCACACGAAGCCAGAGTTGTGGCCGACGGTGATATCATTGAACGCGTCCGGATTGGCGTACAGGAACGGGTTCAGGAAGCCGAGCACGGGCTTGCCCGCAGCGATGAGCCGGTCGTTGATCAGCGCGATGATCGACGCGAACGTGGGTGAGGCGGCGCTCGTGCCACCCACCGAAGTAGGGACACGGTTGACGATGACCTCGAAGTTCCAGCCCTGGGTCGAGACATCGGGGAATCCGCGCCCGGTGAGGTTGAACGTGGCGTTGAAGTCAGACGGGACCGTCTTGAGGAAAGAGGCGATCTGGGCGGTCTGGTAGGCCGGCGCCGGGAAGATGTTGGAGAACCCGCCGCTCGTGAAGTTGATGGCTTTCTCCGGAATACCCTGCGTTGCCCCGACGGAGGTCAGGAACGGACAGCCCGAGGGGAATGTCGGGGCGAGAGCCGCGTTGTTGCAGACACTCGAATCGTCGTGACCGCCACGTACTCCACCCTGGGAAGGTCAGCCGGGCAAGAGCACTAGACACGGGAGAAAACCTCACGTCTCCCGAAGCGAAAAGAACAGACACGCCCCGAGCGGACAGCGCCATGTAGGCGTCGCATATAGAGCTGCAATATCACCCATGAGAACTCCCAGTCATGGGGTGTATGCAATAACTACGCACTTTGCAAGAGCGGGATCCGCGGTGGATTCGTCCACTCCGTACGATGTTGTTATCACCGAGGGAGGATTGGTGGCGTTTTGGAGGTAAGTCGCCGTTGAGAGGAAAGCACTGAAGATGTCGTCCAAGTCTCCATTCCCGAAGTAAGTTGTCGGCACATCAGTGGCCACACCTGACACTGATTGAGCACGCGAAACGGATGGTGAGGAGATCGCCGCTGACGGACCAACGGTGTATTGCATGTCCAGGCTGGCTTCCACACCACCGAAGCCATCTCCTTGCGCATCGAGGCCTCCATTGATGGTCTCAACACCATAGGTCGTGGACGACGACATGTCCGGGCGCAGTTGTTGCAAGAATAACTGGATCAATCCAGTCAGGCTGCGGGAATGCCACCGCAAAGTACTCCGCTCACCTGCAGGTCGGCCGTCTGCGCAAATTCGAGTCCATACGCCGTCACGAAAATCGTGCCATCGGGCTGAGTGGCCGGGGTGGCCGGGATGCCGTACAACTCTTGCAGGCATGTCGGGGTGGTGATCCCACTCGGATCGCTGGTGTTGCACGATGCCGAGACGTCACGTTTCAGCGTGGACAGCGGGGTCTGGATCAGCGGTGGGGCGATTTTGGACGGGGGCGGGGCGAAGGCCGTCGAGGGATGAATCACGTTCACGACGCCCACCATCTCGTTCGGAAGAGAAACGGACATCGTGCGCGCGATCTTGCCATCTAGGTCGGGGTGCGAGAACAGCTCGAAGTTGGCATCGAACAGCTCGTTGGCCTTGGAAACGGGGATGGTGACGGTGACCCAATCTCCGGATGGTGAGAACTGAGTCGCGTTCAACCCATGGGCGGACGCAAAGGCGTTGAAAGCCGACAAGGTCGCCGCAGAGGGCGCCATGTGAGCCTTGACCTGCATGTACTCAGTCCACCCAGCACTTGGCGCCTAAATACACGGGACGAACCTCCTCCTTCGACAACCACTGACGGAAGTTGGCGCTTCCAGGTGTCGAGACGTCCATCAGCTTGGCCTGCAGTCCCTTCACGTCGTTTCCCGCGAGACCGAAACGCAGCTCCAATTCCTGAGCCGCTGGAGCCGGCCCGTGGTTGACGAAGCCAGCAGGGATGGTGGCCCGACTGTCCTGCAGCACCATGGCACTTTTAGCCGCCGCGACGGCAGCCACAGCGAGCACGGTCAGAGTTCTGCTGAAAGCCATTGGGAAGACGAGAAAGGCCTTGGAGGGGCTGGCGATCCGGAATCCTGGCGTTGCATTTATACGCAATCCGCTGCAGAGATTGAAGTGCCGGCTGGATCGAAGGTGTGTGACAGGCTGGGTAGTGAAGAGCGCTTCACGTTCCAACCGTCATGTTCGCCCGTATGAAGGGGGACAAGATACTCCCTCCCCAGGACCTCGGTCGATATTGCGACGAAGATCATCTTTCAAACGCATCCTCCATGCTTCTTCCATCAAATTAACCTCAAGAGTCTCGTTCGCGTCGTAGGGGGCCGTGGCGAATGCCCCATCGTCAAGAGCCGGGATCGCATGGAGCCGTCGGACGGCTGACGGGATCTTCTGCAAGCATGCGTTGTCCTGGGACCTGGAGAGATGAACAGCAGTACGCAGTGTCCTGCCAAGGGACACGCACCAAAGAGAGGAGAGACTAGTGCAGATCACCGCTCAGGGCATCTACGACCATGCCATGCGCTCCAGAATCACGAAGGGTACGGAATAGAAAATGGAACCATCTCGTTTCAGGCCGCCGGTAGAATATGTACCGTTGAGCATCGCTTCGGTCCTCCAGTCGGGTTATCCCTAGGCCAAGGCCTCTAAGGCTGCTTTGCTGGCGGAGCAATCAATTCCATGCTCGTGGTAGGTCAGAGAGTCGAAGAGCAGAGAACCCTGCCCTCCGCAGGTCCCAGTCCTCACCCATCCTTTCGATTGCTTTGGTGCGTCATGGTGAGTTCGGGTAGTTGTAGGTAAGGCCCTGGGAGGCCGATAGGTAGGCAGATAGATTACCGACCCCGGTCCCAATGAGGAACAGCCGAGGCGCAGTGAACTGTGGTTTAGTCATTCGTGATGTTCACTCCTGACATAAATCCGTCATCAACACTTACACTTTCGTGATCTGAGCCTGTTCCCAATTGGTCAACGGACGAATTGCTGGCCGTCGCTCTCGCTTCTGGAGGCGAGAGTCTGGAGGCGATTGCGACGCAGTTGTCGAGTCCAGTGCTGCTGCTGCCGGAAATATGTCAGGTTGGCCCGTCCGATTCGTCATTGAATCGATGCGACCGGTAAAATCTCCCTGCTTTTTGGGCTCGCGCTGTGTGCCTGTCAATTTCAACCGAAGTAATCTGATACATGTTCTGACCCTTCTTATCTGATGGACCCGTCCGCATATCTGATTGTCGTACTACGCCATGGAAAACGAGAGCAGCGTGACCATTTGAAATTGATTTAGAACCAGTCCAGATCATATAACTGTAAGCATGGATGACTGGATCAGAGAATATACATCCCGAATGACTAAAGCCCCGCTTTGCTGCAGATAGGCGCTGTAAGACTTGACCGAAAGGTGCCGGGGATGAGCAACAGCACGCTCAGGAGTCCATGGCAGCCCGGAGTAGGCGGGTGGAGTTGGGCGTGCCTAGTCCAGCTGTGATCGCGTCAGCACACACGCCCGCACATCCTCGGCAACCAACTCACTCAACGGGTCCCAACCACGCGCAGCATCGAAAGCGACAGACGTCTCGGGGCAAACGAAGCCCGAGTTGTGCCCGACGGTGATGTCATGAAGACCCCGGGGTGGGCGTAAAGGAACGGGTCAGGAACCCGAGCACGGGCTTGCCGCCGCGAGGAGGCGGTCGTGATGAGCGCGATCATGGCCGCGAGGTGGGCGCGGCCGCGCTGGTGCCACCCGTGAACGTAGTGCCGCCGGTCTGCACGATCTGGAAATTGACGCCTGGACGGAACATCCGGGAACCCGCGCCCCCTGTGGTGGAAGGTGCCCTTGAAGTCGGATGGGACGGTCTGGAGGAAGGACTTGACGTGAGCCGATGGTACCAGGCGCAGCGAAGATGTCGGAGAAGCCACC